TATATATATATATATATATATATATCCAAAGTACGGTGCAGACTAGTAGTCCGTGTGACTGCACTAAGAGGGACCTTTCACACGCTCATTTCTGGAGTATGCGAGTGTGCAATGCAGGTGACGATTCGGGCTCCGTCCTTTGGTGAACGCCGAAAGGACTACTTGCGCGACATTGCAGTGGCAACAAATGCTCAGCTAATATCAAAGGATTTGGGCTTGCCTCTAGAAGAGGCGACAGCTGAACATATTGGCAGCGCCCAGGGAGTTGTTGTGCGGAAAGACAGGACGTCCATCTTGACAAGGCCTGAGTTCCAGGAGCAGATTCAAGACAGGCAAGTTGTATGATATATAGAGTCAAATATTTCTTCTCTCCACCCACTGGCACATCATATGCGGACTGTGCACACTGGCCACTTTGTGCTTTAAACGCAGAGTGCAGAGACTTCAAAGCGAAATGGAGGCGGCCACTTCGAAATTCGATAAGGAGAAGTTGGGCGAGCGCATTGCTGCTCTTTCAGGAGGCATCGCAAGGATCATGGTGAGCACCGTCCAGGGTGATTACATGTTTGAGCAGACATGGAAGGGGGAAGTGCATGAAGCACTATTGATCTCTGTGCTCGTGGATCTTACTGTACCTCATGTTTCCCATCAGGCTTCCCTCGTGTGCAAATTGTGTGCAGATTGGCGCATCCACGGAGACCGAACAGAAGGAGAAGAAGCTACGTTATGAAGATGCGATCAATGCAGTACGGGCGGCCATTGAAACTGGGTACGTTCCCGGGGGTGGCGTCACATATCTCGCCCTCAGCACAGAACAGTTCCGGAAGAAAGTCTTGGACGCAGTGGAACAGACCGCCCGTGAGGAGATGAAGGGAGTAGACGAGTCAACAGGCGAGGAGTTCCAAGTTGTTGGTAAGTTACCCTTAACTTCATATGAGAACTCGTGAATCTCGTCTCTGGCGCTCGTGCTGAATTGGACGACGCATCACCGGGAGTATGCGTGCGGTCTGCAGAGGAAATGGAAAGCGAAATTGAGCTGCAGAAAGCTGGAGCCAACATTGTAGCGGATTCAATGCCATCTATTACGAAACAGATCGCATCGAACGCTGGTACGTTATTTTAATCGAAGGTTGCGTAGCGTCCCATCCTCTGTATGCAGGTGTGCCTCATGCGGATTTGGTTCTGTTGCGGCGCCTGTTCTGCAGGATTGGATGGCGAACGCGTAGTAAACGCAATTTTGAATGCAAAGAAGCCATTCGGGTTCGGTTGGAATGCCAAAACAAACAGGTTCGGGGATATGATTAGCCAGGGTGTTATTGACCCAGCGAAGGTCTGTATTTCCGCAATCGAACATTCAACTTCTGTTGCTGGACTGGTGCTCACGACGGAGGGCATGATGATTGAGGAGGAGCAGGACCGGAATAAGTCTGCTCCTCATGAGGATGGTGAGCTGTAGTGATGGGATTGCTACAGCACCTGTTGGGATGTGTTCTCCGCTTCCGCCAGAGTGTTAGAGGGGAACACCACCGACAGCGGAGTTGGTTGCTTTCCTCAAAGGCCAAACGTGCTCGAGCCAGTTGCTGGAGCTTATAACAACATGGCACTAGAGCTGTCGGAGCTTAGCGGACAGCAATTTCAACTGCAGAGACCTGTTTAAAGTGGTGTTTTCTGGGAATTGCTGCACAGCCCTTCTTAACTTACTCCCCAGCTTTGATCATAGGGGTCGTCTGTCTCAATCTGTGTGCCGGGAAGGCTTTCCGTAATAGTTTGAATGAGACTGCGCCTTACTGTCTCACCGTGCTTCCAAATGCAACGGTTACCGACTGGTCCTCATGAGGAACGATTACTTCTATCGGCGTTGAGAATTTCCCCTCACCAACAGGGCCTTGGGAGTGCCAGTGGCCGTAGATGCAATTATTTAAACTGGCATACTGACGCATTTACCTCCACAGGCGTTCACTGCTTTCTGTTCAAAATCCTGGGAATGTCTAGGGAGATAGCGAAAAATAGAACTCGTAGATAAGACTTCAGTAGACGGCAAAATACCTTTCAGTCCACGCGTACACGAAGCCGCCGTCTGGGCCTTTGTACGGAGGAGGCAAGTGTGGCGGTTTTTTCCGTGTTGCGCTATACGTTCCCCGTACCCACATTTAGCCGCATAAAGCCTGTCTCTCCTATCTGCAGCATAACTAGCATGAACTCAGGCAAAAGCTACTTTGCAGGAAGAAGATATACCCATGCATCGATAAAGTGGAAGACTGCCTTGACCCGGATTTCTCTATGGGGCGGTAGGCGGTCGAACCTTTTGCTGATTTCTCCCTGGCAGTACTCTGTAGCCCAAATTCCTGTGCTTTTCTTTTGGTTTTGGTACCTTTGCAAACTTTCCGTAGCCTCCCAGCATGGATATCCCTGCGCAAGATGATACGATTTCCTGCGAAGCTGTTCGGCAATAGTGGTTATAGCTTTTTCCGATTGAACAGAACAACTGACCTGGGTTATCCCAGCCTTCAGCTTTCCCTTCAGAGAAATCCTCACGATGTATCGTCCGGAACTGAGGAACACCTCGGACGGACAACGGGCCTTGTAGGTCCAAGGAACTGAGTTTTGTCATCCACACAACGAACTTGTCATGCATGTCGCGTGGCGTTCCCTACCTAGTAGAGAGGTTGGCATAGATTCGCATAGTATCTTCGTTGTCGACGCTAAGTAGCGTTGATCGTGGGCTTGCAATTATGAAGTCGCCAGACCCATCAATGCCCATTTGGAATTGGTCGGGATCATTCCCAATACCAATCAGTGCGTTTCTTCCGCTCGCTGGTGCCACGCGGAGCTGCCCAACCACCATGCCCGCCTGCACCTTCGGGCTGTCTGCAGCAACAATCAACGCCTTGTAGACAATTGCAGCTGCAGCAAATGCTGCTGCGGCAGGCATTTTCAAGGATTGAACTCAACGTCATACGGCCTACCACTTTTTAGGCGTTGGATGAAATGAACTTCAGTTTTCTGCCTCAGACGGCTGTGGGATGTACATCCAGCTTGCCTGACCGGAACCCGTTCCTCGCCGATTGTTGCAAATGCCACGGGAAGTGCGCCTTTTATTGATGATTTTGGGAGTTGCATTTTCGATAATAGCACCGCGGAGCTTTTTATGCCAATTTCAGTTCAGCAACGCCGATTTGAGAAAGCGTTCCAAGTTTATCGGCGCGCTTGCTTGCCGTCAAAAAAGTAGCTTCACAAAAGGTAGTTGATATTCAAACTGTGTTCAACATTCCTGGTATTGGCCTTGGGAAGCATCTTGCTCGTCTGCAGGCAACCGCTTTCATTGGCAAGACCGGCCGCCAGGTTTCGGTAAGTCAGGGAATATACAAGTGGTCACAACACTGCAAGTTCATACGAACAAAATATATCAAAAGGCCAGTGACGGCTGTGCGACTGCATTGGTACCGGCGCTTATGCCTTCTAAGTTTGAAAAGTACTCTACGAACACCGACACAGCCCCATGTCGCCGCTCATCCTAGAAAGCGCAGAGCATGCACAGGCAAATGCGGATGCAAGCACAAATGTAAAAATACATGTGCTATTTATCTATCACTGAAGTGTGGGAAGGAGAGACGAGTTACAGTGATGCCACCTTACCTCATCTGACCACTGCATGGAAAGACGATTGCGACCATCGTGGACCGCAATCAGGGACAGAAACTCTATGAGAATTCCTCCGCCTTCGAGTTCCTGCAGACCCAGGTGGTCCCCAAAGTCGCAAAATTCAGGTGTTCCAAGAGTAGAGGGTTGATCCTTGCTCTCCACCAACCCATACTGCAAGCGTTGTTGCTCATATGCCTGTCTGCACTGAACAACGTAATCTAAGAACAAATGTAGTAGTTGCTGGAATGCAGGCGCCTCCAGTTGAACTTCGTGCTGGTAGCGAAGTGCGACCAGCTGCAGACAACGCGGCAGGTTGCCCCCCTCCACAGCAGTCCCTGTCGGCTGTGGCAACGGAGTTTTGTTCCCCTTCTTCTGTTCAACACCTACAACGTCGCCCACGTGCTGGCTCCCTCCATGGCTGGAGAGCCCTGGGATGTCTTCAACCGTTGGCGCTTGTCTTGCGTTAGCGTTATGTTTGATACTTCCGCAGCCGTTGATTGTAACACCAGTGGCCCCACGAACAAGGTTGTCCATGTCCACCAGCAGATATATGTCGTCAGCAGGCTCTCGTCCCTCTCCAGGACTATCTGGCACGCTTGTTCCAGCCGCGATCGACATGGAAAAGAAAAGAGAGGACGGGGGAGAAAAGTACGGCGAGACCCGTAGGTATGGGGGAGACAAGGTGTCAGCTGTCGACTGGGGTAAGCAGCGCCGAATAGCGGGAGATTCAAGCAGCGCAGTCAGCTGAAAAACGTAGCGCAACGGAGCCCTCGAACAGTCAGTATTGGTTTCACACTGCAACTTCAAATGCACCTCATAAGCAAGGAAACTGTTACAATATGTACTGGAAATGCTTCAATGGCTATGTGAACGCAATGGAGCCCTTCCAGCATAGCTTACTGCGGGATCGTCGCACTGCCAGATCATTTCCGTTGGCGGAGAGGTAGAGGGAGTTGCATTACATGGATTTGTGGCACAGCGCCGAAAGCATCGATTATGGATATAGACAGGCACCCGAGCTTCAACCTTTTCTAGAGGGATTGAAACAGTCTGGCCAGTGGGAGGTGTGTAAACTGGAATACCCAGCTCGCGCTGCAGGACGCGAGCCAGCTTGAGCATGCCTTCCTTCTCCCCATGAACCAACATTACAGCTTTCGGTTGAAGATGCCGAGCAAGCTGCTGGATCCCCGTGGTATCCGCATGCGCTGAGAAGGACATGTACCTGACTTTACACAAGACCTTCAGCCTCGTCTTTGGATCCAGTGGGATGTCGCGCTGGCCTGAAACAACCGCAACGGAGCATCTACTGACCAAACCCTTCAAATCCCGGCCATGTCAGCACGTTGCCACAGTGAAGCTACCAGAAAGAAGAGAGAATCTTGGGTCCCCTTGGCCCTAACGGGACTATAAATGCACAAACTGCATACCGTCAATAAGCATCGCACCCACAGTTCCCCGAACGCAGTAACCTGGAAGCAACACCAGATTCTCTGGGCCTCCAGCCCACAGCTTTAGCGCTTTAAAGGCCAAGCCGCCATGTAACATCCCAGGGGTTGCCAAAAGCACCATAGGTGTGGGCGACGTGAGCACCTCCGGGGGCAATGTGGAAATATGTTGAAAATCGAATTCTCCAAATCCAACTGCTGCAGGCGCATCATTACCCACGAGGCAGGCTGTGCAGATCTCGACGCCAGGCACACGAGTACTAATACACAGACCACAATGACCATACATTTGCACGCTACTAATGGAACGCAAGAACGTACCGCAGCCTATAGGCTCGTCCTCTTCCACATGGTCGGCAAAAGTGCTCGGTTGAGCATTTGCACCGTCTAAACGATGCACCATGTCACTGCCAGTCCACTGCACATACAGTTTGTAGTACTTGTTGGCCTTCTCTGTCATCCCGCCGCCAAAGTAGATCGGGTACTGCAGCTGCATGCGTTGCCAGTACGAATTCAACAGCATGCACAGTTCTTGAGCCCTTCCTACTGCAAAAACGGGGATCAGTACTTTCCCCTACCGGCCACAGAACCACAGCACACTGTCCCGGCATGTGTTATGCACCCTCTGCTGTCGTACCCTCTGATGTACCATCACCAGCAACAGTAGCAACGCCACCCGCACCAGCAGGAGCAGCAACAGCAGCAGCAGTGCAACGAGAATGAACACTTCGGTGGCACGAGAGTTGGATGGGCAGTTTCCAAATATGCGAGAAGAAATCTCCCCACCCCTTTCTTGAGGGCGTCGTGTACGGCATCACAGAATTCTCTCTCTGTTATCCTCTTGGAAGGCCGAACGAATGATCCGTATGTGCATTCGCTTATCAGCAGATCTGGTCTGAGCCTTGGAATGCATGCGCTACCCAGATGCCTGTCAGGCGACGTGTTGAAATCGCCTGCGTATCGAGCGCACGCACTGTCGTGAGAGTGCCCGGGCCTCAACGTGCACACTAGTTAATGCGTGACACACTATAATGGGCAAAACAAGCTTTTTCGAGATTCGCTGCCTTCAGCAACCAACCCGTGCAATCGGGGGCTGACCTGTATAGACTACTGAAAGGCCACCAGGAAGCTGGGCATGTAGCATTGCAGCACCCAAGACATGTCCGGCGTAGTATGGGGTGGCTGTCCACCCGCCTGCTTTCCACGATTCGTGAAGCCTCAAGGCCATGCAGCGTCTCATGCACCTCTGCGCCTCAGCTTCTGTGTAATTCCACTGCTCGTGAGACGGCCCCGCACCTCCCCCCACTCTACCATCACTGCTGGAGCCTCCGCTCACGCCAGTATCCCTCCCACTGCTTTCCGCTGCACCCAAAAGCAAGAGAGAGGCAACTTTACTTTCAGTGCATCGGCTCTTAGGTTCACAGCATGCTCACTCGCAACCACGAGTGCAGATGCCTGTGGCTTCCAGCGTACGCGCAGCCCAGCAAGCTGTCTCACCTTCGTATAGGCGCCCGCGGAAAGATGCCTCCTTGAATATGCGAGCACTATCCAGAAGCAGCACCGGGCTCAGCGCACGCGTCGGGAACGTCATTGCTATGGGATTACGGTAGCTGACAGGCAGGAAAGAGCATGCTCTCATCAACTCTAAAAACATCTTCATCTAGACTGGAAGCAACAAATGCATGACGACTAGAAGTAGGCCAAGCCAAGTTAATATGCACAACTTTATTCGTAAATACCGCTACAGAAGCGTCAAAACACTATCTGCGTACACTAGGTCTACACCTACTAGGTAAAACGAGCAGTGGGCAATTCAAGAAAGATGGCCAGGTCGCCTGTTCTAGTGCACTAATGAAGGCACCCCGGCCATATTAGCTTTTCAGTGACGCGCAGAAAAGGATCGGCATCAGTCTTACCCAAGGCGTTCCGTAAATGAAGGTAAAGAGCCGCAGTGGTCCATGTGAAAGTGCGAGATTAGCGCAGCGTCTGTACAGCAGGCAAACAGAGGCGAAGGCTGTAGGAGTGCTTCTTCCATTGTCTGTGCGTCCTGTCTTCCACTTCGTTGGGGGGCTAGCTGCAGCAGCATATTCAAGACTGGCATCTTCCTGGCCTGCTTGGCGCCTAGATGACTGCCGCAGTCGAAAAGAAGCCCCCTCTCGCCTCGCCGTACGTAGACTGCACTGCGGCCAACATCTTGGCCTGCGCCAAGGACAGTCACTTTTAGAGGCTCCCCTGCGCTCGTTAGAGCTGATTTCCTGTCATTGGCACCTCTACTACCAGCTTTTAAAACATGACTCCCTTGGGAAGCCCCGGCGGCTTCTGCAGGCTGCAACACAGGGCCTTGGGCCCAAGGCGACGTCTTTGAATACCCATCGACGGAAGCATCCGAATTCGATCTCCACACGCAACCCGTTGAACCCTTGCGAAGGGTGTTGCTGCCCTCAAGCAGCTCCGGTTGCCGCTCGTCTATTTGATTCTGCACTTGAGTGGGCTGTTGGGTTGAAGGTTGGTACTGGAGGTGTGCCTGCTGCTGTAGTCCTTGCAGTAAGAGCTCCTGAATATTATGGCTGTCGAAAGGAGGCTGCATGGCCCGGGTGTGAAAAGACTGGCTGTATATTCCGACAGCCCCAGTAGCCCTGCACACTGTAATGGAAGTAATGGTAAGGTGGCAGTCTGCAGAGGGGGCACTAGGGCCTTAGCTGTCCTTAAACGACATGAATGAGGGGAAATGTATCATAGTTTGAGAAAGAGCCAGCGTTGATGATATTTAGCCACGGAGGCCCGGTCAAAGACCAGGTTGAAACGGCCCCCGTAACCCGTAACACCTGCAGCTTGCATGTTTCTCTTTCAAGCAGCATTACTTGTTACTTTTATTACGCGTACAGTTCTATCTTTGTTGACAATAATAAAGTGCACTTACTTGTTGAGCTTCAACAAATAACCCATTTACTGCCTGGAGGCCGTTGGGGCTGACGCCAACGTTGCATGCTCTGTCAGTCATACGGATTCGTGGTCGACCATATAAGGAGAAAATAAAATTGATTTCTCGGGATCTGTTATAATCTAGGCACAGTATGAAATAGCTTGTTTACAGTGTATGAAGTGGAAGGGGATGGGTAGACGCAACCCCTGTCTGCCCCACTCCCAGGCAAGAGGAACCTTCTACAGGATAGAACATCAACGGACTCTGTAGCTGGACGGGAGACGAAGCTAAAAGAGGCGCCTTTGCGCAAATGGTTCAGGTTTTACAGACACGCTGACCGCTAACACGGTTTGGGCGACTGTTGTTGTTTTTGCCACCTGTTGGCACGGAAGGTTCCAGGGGAACAAGAAGGTTGTACGAAGATCGTCGAATCTGGAAAGTTCCATATAAAAGAATATCTTGAGCATGGCGAAGATGAAAGGACGAAACAGCGGCGGAGCCGCTAAATCGGCGGGGGGGACGGCCCAGAAGGGTTCAGCCATCACGCGGGGTGCGGCGTCGACTCTCCCGACTCGTCAAATACCGAGCAATAAGAAGCCGGGTGGGTGTTCTCGACGTAGGCTTGCAATTATTGAGGCTTTATCCCTGGGTGTTTGCTTCATTGCTGGGGCGACGGGCGAACTGTTCAATGACTCCGCACACTCAGTGCGTGGCTAAGCACCAACGCGTGCGGCACCTGCTTATGGTAGTGTGAAATGGCGACCCTGTTTTTCAGGCCATTACCGCTCTGCAAGCAAAATAAGGCTTCTACAGATGTACAACTCCAAACCAAAGTGGTTGCGACCTGGAGGCAAAGAACCACAGCCGTTAGCGCCCGCAAGAATTCAGCCTGATCGTCGGTGGTTCGGGAACACGCGAGTAATCGACCAGCAAAAACTTGCAGCTTTTAGGGAAGATATTCAGAAAGCAACCGCCGATCCATACACGTAGGGATCACCAATGAACAGGAAATGCTGTTCGGAGTCCTGTTCTGTCCGCTTGCATGTCTGTACCTGTGCGTATCAATACTGCATCATGAGAATTATTTCCTGTTTATATAGGTGACTGCTCTTGTTGTGCTGTCGGCGTGGTTCTGTGTATCTAGAGTAGTTCTGAAACGATCGAAGTTGCCAATGAGCCTTATAAAAGATCGAAATGTCGGAGGCAAGAAAGAAGCAGTTACTACCGGGGGACAGCTGCCGAAATTGAGTGGCGATGCCCTTGTCGCCCTCGAGCCTTTTGAAGGTGTTTTCGGCAGTAAAAAGACCCGCAAACGACCGCGTCTGCAGGCAGCTGACTTGACCACTTTGGCTACCCAGGTAAGCACCATCCCTGTGTATATGCAAGGACCCTGGGCCATGGAGCCATTGGAATACCGTGCCACCACAAAGTACGCCTTGCCCGCGAGAAGCGGCCACATATGCATTTGAAAACTCCAGTTGGAGTTTGCCCGGAAAGGATGCTCCTTCAATGTGGTTCGATGCAGGCTGCTGAACGGGAGGCTGCCTTTGAGAAATCAACTGCTTCTTCGAGTGGGGTCGCAGACAATGGCGGCGAGGGAGGTCCTGTAGAGTCAATCTACCAGAAGGGAACAAGCCGCAGGATATGGGGAGTGCGCTTCCACAGTCAACCGGAAACATGAAGAAGTCTGTATCTCGCGCCTAGTCTTTTATGTAATTTTGTGCTTTCGTTACATTGATAGCAGCGCGGTGTATGCATTTTTGTCTGGATTGTTTTTAGGAGTTGTACAAAGTCATTGATGCTTCTGACGTCCTCGTACAAGTTGTGGACGCACGCGACCCGATGGGAACACGGTGCGCAGGAGGAACCTCTGTGGTCAACTTAGGGTTTGGGCTGCTAAAATGAGGAGCTTGCGCCCACCTCAAACTCCTCATTAGCTATTAAGGGTGGAAAAGGCGGGGAGTAGAGGTGCTATGTGAAGAGGCCTTTTTAAGAACAGGATGAGTTGGTTTCGTGTACTGTACCTTTTCTCTTGAAAGCGCCCGTTCAATGCCTTATTTGTATGAATCTGTTTAACTTCTCACTCCAGTGCTTGCTGCATGATGTCCTCCGTGGCACCGCAGGTGCACGCGTCTTGAAAGATATCTGAAGGCGCAACGCTCGTCGAAGCACCTGGTGCTCGTCATAAACAAGGTATGGCAGTGCATTAAATTTGGCATTCTTTGCTTTGGGTACAACTTCGACAGGCGGTGATTTCTGTTGTGTTGCTGTTATGTTGGCAGGTAGATTTGGTTCCGCCGCGAGTAGCACGACACTGGTTACGGCAGCTCAGCAAGGAGATGCCAACCCTGCTTATGCAGGCCGACAAGAACAAGAAGAACATCGGCAGAAATCAACTCTTCCAGCTCCTGAGGTGCGGAAGTCCGTATGAATTGTTTCTCATTGTTCCAGCGAGGTGGGAGTGTTATGCCAAATCATTCTTATTTTTACATTTTTTTCATTCCTGCGCAGGCAATACGGGCAGCTGCTTTCAGATAGAAAGCATGTATCAATTGGCTTTTTTGGCTATCCAAATGTGGGGAAAAGTTCCATCATCAACTTCCTAAAGAGCAAGCAAGTTTGTAAAGCTGCCCCAATACCTGGGCAGGTCAGTGACATTTCTTGAGCTCATCTGCACATAAAGCTTACAGCAACTGCAACCGAATGATGTGGATACACTTGTGCTCGCCCACGGATAAATGCAACACTGTAGTTGATGAAGTTCCATGATCACTGAGTTGATGAAGTTCCATGCTTTTTCCAAAACCGTCACCACAGACTGCATGATCCAACGGGCAGTAGATCCGTAGCAAGGTTGTACATCGTTCCAGCGCACAAATGTAATTTTGCAGCGCCCTTTCTGTACGGAGTAGCTGCCGTATTTGGATATGTGCTTCAGACCCGAGTGTGGCAGTACGTGGCTCTAACTTCCAAGCTCTACCTCATTGATTGTCCGGGCATTGTTCCCATCAGTAGCGATGCGGGCAATGACACAGATAAGGTGCGTTTCCCGCTCTTTTCTGTCTACTTAGTTACATGCATTGCCGCACGCAGACTTTGCAGGAGAGTGGGGATCCTATTTGCGTGCATTAGTGCAGCAGTGTCGAAATTAGAATTCGTCTCGGCTATCACATCCAACGACTCTGGCTTCCTCGAGTCGATGTTCGTCTCAGGTTATGCGAGGTGTCGTTCGGCCTGAAAGGATCAATGCCCCTGAGGAGCACATTGGAACCGTATTAGAGCGAGTCAAGAGGTGGGTTCTTCTTTGCATTCACCCAAATAGGCCAACATAGCCCCGAGAACAACCAGCCATTATAAGGGAGCGAGTCTGTGTTTGCTGGTCCTGCAGGGAAGCTGTGATAACACGCTATGGCTTAGATCAAAGCACGACTTGGGAAGATGCTGAGGAATTTCTTTCCCTTTTGGCTGTTCGGCTTGGAAAACTGAAGAGGGGTGGGGAGCCGGATATTTCTACTGCCGCCCGCATAAGTAAGCTCCAGTTATAATGCCATCTTAACGACTCCCTTCAACGTCAGAGCCTCAACTATTTGTTGGAGATCATCTGCGGGTTTGTGTATTTTGATGTAGTGCTGTACGACCTCCAACGAGGCAAGCTGCCTTACTACGTCCTTCCCCCCGGTATGGCGAGTGAAGCTGCAGGCGTAGCTCTCGACGACAGCGAAGTCCAGCTAAACGGAGCATTGGCGTTTCCGGAAGGAATTTCGCCTGTCCTAACTGATGTGACCCACAAATCTAGCAAGCACGATGAAGAAGAACCCGCCATCTTGGGGGATGACTGCGGGACTCAGGATGCGAAGAGCAACGAAACCGTAGAGACCGATGCCGCCGTGCTTGAGCCACCTTCTTCAGAATGTGTCTGTGGTCCTAACAAGCGGGCTAAAACTATGAGCTCCAACAGTGGATGAGTGTTGTTGTTTCTCGTATGTTGTTTCCACGGAGTGCGCATACTGATTCATTTTGTGTGGGGATGGTGCTGCGGTTCCGCAAAGCCAGCATGCATTCAGTGGCATTCTATCGCCGGGTGAATGCACGACAAATATTTTAACCGTTTAAGTATTTCAGTACTCAGTGGGACGCCTAGCTGTTCCAGGAGTCAAACGGGCGAAAACCCAAACTAAACTGTGTAACCCGAGGGCTCAGGGGAGACAGTGGTTAACTTCAAATACAGATATTCTGTAGAAGTCTGCGCCATTCCCTACAGCAACGGTAGCAGCAGAAACGGAAAAAAAAACCGTCAGTGATTCCTGCAGAATCTGAATTCTGCTTGCCAGTGGACGGTGGGAACTGGGAAGCGCTTCTGCACCTCTAGTGGTTTGGTGCCAGCAGCCTTGCACGATCGGATATACCCACCACATACATGCAATGCGAACATGCACAAAGCGAACATCTCGGATGCACGGAGGCTGAAGCAGTGATAGAAGAAAGTAACTAAATCTATCTTTGCCATGGCGTTGGCCGAAGTCATGTCAATATTGACCAAGGAAGTGGTGCACGCTGGGGCAAACTGCCGTCTTTGCAAGGCTGGTGCGCTTGCAGCTGCTGAACACAAATATGCACAGTACTGCCAGCCACGTGGGTACCTCTTCCGCACATTTACCCTTAACCTGGTAGTCCATACAGCAACAGCAGTCGGGCCACTACGGTTATGGCACTGCCGACTCTGCAGCGGCTACATGGTCATTTTCACGTTCTTGTGAAACCCGGCATCTCTGGTGTATCCACCACATGCGAGCCAAGACGACATACATTAGCAGCAGAAGGCCAATCATCGGCAGCTGGACAACATACATTCCCTTCGGGCCTAAGCCAACTGTCAGATGGAACAGCGGACTGCATAGGAGAGAGAGCAGGCCACCGACCAGCTGTACAATGCCAATAAGGCGGCCGAAAAACTTGGCTGGGAAGTTTTCTTCGATGTATACAAACACTTGAGAAACGAACAACGACATATACACCACGAAACACAGTACAGAAACAATGCCGGTAGCTACTGTTTGCTTCAAGCTAAATGAATATGCCAGTACACCTGCCGAATTCACTATTCCCATAACGGCTAAAATACCAATAGCCTCCGAAAGTTTGCCCAAAATGATGCACGGAATAAAAGAGAAGGGCAATGCATTTCCTAGGAATTTCAGAGCAGTGGCTTCCAGGATACGGTCATGAGCCTCTTGGTAAAATGACGTAATCCACCCAACCGCAGTGAAGTATGTAACAACGAGCAGATAGGTCTCCGAGAAAAGGGTCTGCTTGAATGTTTGTCCTGTGGTCGTCTGCTGATGCTTCACTGCATTCGAAGAGGAGCGTTCTGCTGGTGAGTTCAACTCTCCTGTTTCTTGTTTCGAGATGTGAGGACTCTGCGACAATGCTTGCTGGTCCGTCTGCGCACATCCTTGGCTCCCTGTAAGATCATCTTCGATGACCTTGAATGCTTTCAGAGGCATCGAGAAGGCATCGACGAGCAAAAACAGGCAAGGGCCAAAACCGACATACCACCAACACCCTGAAATGCCATTGTTGGTGAGATAAGAATTCAAGATCAAGGGAATTGCAAAAGAAGCAGACGACGCAGAACCAATCAGTGTTATTACAGTAGCTGCAGCACCGGGGAAGAGCCGGGTTATGAGTAAAGTGGGCAGGAATGCAGTGTCTGCCCCCAAACCCAGAAAGATGAAGCCCAAATATACGCGCTCGTTTGATTCCTCTGTCAGTGTAGAGATTAGAGACCACGCGATTATGTGGAAGCACTGACCAATCATGGATGTGATCTTGGGGCCCAACGTGTCCATCATGGCTCCAGCAACTGCACTCATTGTGCAGTGCGTCGCAAGTGTGATGACAAATAAACTCTGCACCGACGCATCCTGCTTGTCGCATATGTAGTTGTTGCCGAATTGCCTCTGGTCGTCTACGAATGACCCGTTCTCATCGATGCCACACTTGAAACTGAAAACCCCCGCCCGCAACAGCATTGCAGACAGAGGAGCCCATCCAAAGTACACGCACCCTGTCACAAACGTCTGGAGAACGTAGAGGAAAAGTAGAGCGTATCTGTTCAAGTTGAAGGGAGTGTCCTGTTGAGCTCCAGGGAGATCGCCACGTGGCAACGTACTCCGCAATGCCAGCAGTAGTTTTCGATGCCATGAAACATTGTGTTCCTTATCCGTTCCCATTATTCGCTTATCGTATATTATCCTGTCACTAGCTCCAACAATCTCGCGCAAAGAAAGGAAGCAAGCAGATGCTTTCCTTGACCATGTAGAATGCGTGCTGCCCAAGTCACAACACCGCTACGCAGGCCCCATAAGAAACTCCGCTAATAAAGAGTTATGGGTGAAGTAGAAGGCTGCAACGTGTTGTCGGGATGCTTCAGGAATGCTGCACTCAACTAGCCTATGATCCGTCGGACGATGATGGCTATGTGGGGTGAGACCGGGTGGGTGCCGGGCAAGAAAACGGGAGATCTCTAATGTTTAGTGACTCAACATTCCGCAGAATAGCTTTGCAGACCTAAATCTGCTTTTAATTTGGCAGTTTGTAATCTCTTGTTGTCAGGCCGAGTAGGGTCAGTCCATGAAGTGTTTGCAGTCCTAACGCACTGATGAAGCTGCCAGCGACAGAAAGAGCAGACACTACACTGCCTGAATGCCAATGGATATATCTATAAAATGTAGAGGGTATTTTTTTTTCATTCTTCAGAGTCTAGGTTGCAAAGCTGTAGGGTGAGCGTTCAAGTACTAGTAGATCATTTCTGCTGGACGACCCATCTGTGTAGCGACGTCTGCCCGAAGTTGGCAAGTCCATCCGATCTAAGCCACAGGTCGCTAACTTGGCCCAAACTGGTAGCATGTAGGCAAGTATTGTGCCTGTGCGCAAGCACAACTCTTCAACAGTTGCCTTCAGTGTTGCATAATTTGCACTTTTTAATGTGTAGCTCGGGTCCCCGGTCATATCCGGGGGGGTTGTGAGTTGCAGTGGAGCTAAAGTGCTCAGGACGATATTCAGTAAGAAGCAGCTGACCTACAGCCCCAGTCTTCTGGCGCCCCGAGCTCATCCACCTGGAGTTGCGGGAGAGGAGGCTATAGAATGCATTGTCTGTTGGTATGTCAGCCTGATGCTGGCGTATGAACGCCAGCCCCAGTAGACAAATGCTTCGCAAACAAAAGTTCTCATCAGTAGCATGAAGTGTCCGCGCATGCAGTCATGTATGCTCGTTTGTGCTTGAATTTGAGGCTAGCATGCACCTTGATTTGCATCACGGGGCACTGCAATTCATGCAGGCCACCACCTCTCCTGCAGGTCCAGACGCTTGGGCAGCTTCTCGCACGACTGTTGGAGACTGTGGAGGGATACCAGTTGGTTTTGAGGAACTCGTACACTATGTTATTTAGCTTCATTGCCGAACAGTCACAGTAGTACTTGGATAAGGTTAGTGACCTATGTTCAACAGGCTGCCTGCCACTAGTTGCAACGCACCTTGCTAATACTGAAGGTGCAGGATAGCTCCAGATAAAGAGCAAATAAACATTCTTGGCTGTGCGCATGAACGCTGTAGACCACTGTTGAAAACTTCTGCTTGCCTACCGTCTGACCACTAGGTTCTGGTAAAGGTTAACGCGTCAACTGCAGACGTGCTTACCAATATCGGAGAGACCACCACGCATCTGCTTCTGCCACCTTGGCACAAGCCGCACACACCATTGTGAACCCTTGAGGCGCATGAATATGCTTGTACCTGTTGGTGATTCGGGGCAGCCTTCGGCCTTTTTTGTTGCTCCTTGCAGGTTATACCAGCTCTTTACCGCTTCATATTCTAGCCAACTGGTTGCATGCTGAAGATGCTGAAGAGATGGTGTTGCACCGGTTGGTCAGAAGAACGCTTCTGGATGTGCAAAACACGTTTAACACAGGGGCCTTTTTCTTTGATGCAGTTGGCTATGATTGTCGGCATAGCCTCTGCGGCTTTTCTGGCTAAGGATGGCAAATCACAATCAACAGAAGTCGTGAGGTCGTCTTGTTCAAATAAGCAACGAGCCTCGGAAACACTCTGGAAACACTAGCCAACGTATTATGATGGCCACACAAGAGAACCTGGCGTACGCAGGGTTGAAAGAAGCCTGCTGCCGCCGGAGTAAGGAATCACAGCAAGAAGAATAGTTGGAACGTCGAAGTACATCGAGATATATTTGAGCCGCATGACTAGTGAAGCATCGAAGGCAGAAGAAATCGAAGCTTAAGCAGTGTTTTCCAAGCCCATGTTGGCAGAAGTTGCCGGCAAGTTAAGGATTACGTAGAGATATTCACGAGGGACCGCTCAAGCCAGGCGATTCTCAACAGCCCATTCAGGGAAAAGTAACCGTATTCCTACCGATTTACTGTAGGATTGAGGCCATGCTTGGCGCTTGGCGTCAATGGACTGTGGCGCAACTGCTTGGGACTTCAGTCTCCTTCAGGTGTGGCTCTTTGCCTCAGTCCTGCTGAATGGTTGCGGGTAGAGTTCGGGGATATTTACCTGTTTCCCCCAGTCGTCTTACAAAATCAGTAATAATGGTGATGGCATTTCACTCACACAAAAGATGATTGGTGAACAGTTGGGTGACTGTGCCCTGCTATCGCTAAGGTATAACTGGGGATGACATGGGCGTTCTTGTTTTAGCCAAACCACTACGATCTAGATGTTATCCTCGCCTCCGACTGCTGATAAGCCCGCTATGACACCCACTGTAATGCCCGTCGACATCTGTTCTGGGACCAAACTGCCTTGCAGGACCCCGGGTTTGATAGTGTTCTTTAGGTGTTTGTGAAGACATTTGGGGCAGGTGAAGACGAATTGATCCACTGAGAAACACTTCCAACGCGACTGACAGGCCCTCGCCACTTTCTTCCCTGCTGTTATGACACCTCCGTTGGTCGTAAAAGCAGCACCGTTCATTTAACGTAAACCTTTTGTGCGGAATTTCGAACACGATATCGTGCCCAAACTTCGCAAGCAAACTCCAAACGTCTACTGGAGCTTACTTGCGAAGACCACAGTTTTGGAGAATTCGTTCCAGTTAAGACCCAAACAGCAGCTGAGTTTTCGTGTGCATTAAATAACAATGATCTACCAGCAGGCCCACATGCTGGGTGGAGAATGCACCGTATTGGACTCATCCACGGTGCAGCTCGATCTTTGCAGTTAGTCGCTTTGCCTCTAGATTAACTCTTCAAGGGGTGGAAACCTTGGAACGCAGTTAGGGCTGGAAGCCGCTCACTACTATTAGAGGATACAGGGGGATGTTGCTACTCTGAATGGCCCACGAAATCTACCAGGAACTGAAGTCGTCCCCCGTCTTGTCCCTCTCAAGGGCCTTCTGATTACTCTAGATGTATCTTGCGTGGCTTCTAGATGCTGAGTCGCATAAAGTAAAGCCTTCAACACCTCAGCAACTGCACTTCGCAACTAATGATTTGTAGTGCTGGCATCAGGCGGATTTCTGGGCTCTCTACGAAGTCATGGTTATGCCCACACTCAGCAGCGTCTGGTCAGAGGACTCCACATCTATTTTGTAACAAAGCATAGGGACCTAGCCAACATGAACGGGGTTTGCCTAGCTTCTATACCTTCCGTACTCTGTTGCATATTTACCGTTGCAGTTAACTATTACGTTTCCTAGGGGAGAAACTGAAGTAGCAAATCCACCGGTGACGTGCATTTAAAGATAGGGTGGGTGAGAGTAGACAGTCTAAATCACTGTAACGATCCTCACCTCAAATGGCCTACTTCCTAGTCTCTAACTAGGGACAACATAGAAGGGCCCGAACATCTGGCTGGCAGCCTACCCTATACAAGGTAAAAGTTTCGAAATGTTTCACTCCATGAGGAGTTTTAGGTTGCAAACAAGCACGGATGCCGTAACTCACGAACACGGAACTACCAACTTGAAGCATCCAAGAACACAAGGCGGCATGCCACAGCTTCTGCTCAGCACGGGCAAACACCTTGGAAACAAAGCATCGACATCCCTCTAAGAAGACCAGTAATTATAGATCTTAATTCCCCAAGGACGGTTAGCTCCTTTCCCAAACAGAAAGGTCCCGATACTGCAGAGAGTCACTGGATGTGTACAACACGGTCTGTCTGCTGCTAGTCCTTCTATTTGAATGCAGGTTGGACACTGTCAACCTTTTGAGCTCTTGATATTTTCCTAAGGTACTGTGTTGGTGTACGCAAAGAAGGGAGGGCGTGGGTTTGCTTGCAATGTGGGGTTGCCTTGCACCTGTAGTTGCACCACGAACTGCTGCAGCTGCAGCCTCCACTTCGCACCGGCCTCACGACCATGTGAAGCCGTGAACACAAAAAATTGACGGCAAATTAAGGCTTACTTGGTTTATGGAAGTTCCCGTTTTTAGTATGCTGAATCATTTGTAGCTCGCGACGGTCCACCGCTGAGGCCGATGACTCTCTTGTGTGCACGCGGTTCTGTGTGTGGCCCGGCAGAGGAAAAGCGATTTCCTCCATCACGCACAGGCTAATTTTTCAGGAACGTGATAAGCAGATTGATACATACATAGCAGGGGAATTTTAGGAGAAAGCACCGGCACCACCGCCGTGGGCGGTCTCCGTCGAGCCACGAATATGAGCTAGCCCTCCCACTGAAACACCAATGCATTTAATGTATTGAAGCATATGGAAAAGCTAAATGTTTAAATAAATGTTATAGTGTGTACAGGCACCGGTGAACCACGAGACAAGCTGGCAGGCGGCAGGGTCGGCATGCCATGGACAGATGTCAGTTTGGCTGCTTCGTTGAGTCCCATGTCTTGGATCGACCGGTGAAGCCTTCTTCAAGCTTATATATCAAACAGCATGTCTCTATGTAAATGTTGTAATGTGTTCGGGGGGTCGTTGAAATCTTTCCCAGTGCAGGCAAGGCCAGTTCACCTCGGGGCTGGAGCGGACCAAATCCGCACAATCCATTTCTGAGACATGAGGGATCATTAGGCTACTTCCTGAACTCTTTTTTCGTAACAGGATGGATTCGCAAGAGTAGTGGAGCGCTTTCGCTTTTGTGTCTTCGAGAGCTCAGTGGCCGGGTACCTGTGGACCTCAGCAGAGGTCGTCGGTGACCAACTGGGGATTGATTGATTCCGCTCAACTGAAGCGCGTCTCCTCTCCTTGAAAGTTGAACATATTTTTTTTAGCTCCGGGCGATCTCGGAAACTAGTCTTATTCTCGTCATTTCCTGCAGAAACCCTTTGACGTCGGGGCTCTTGGGGCGCGCGGTCACTGAACCGGCCAAGCTCGAAACAATCGCAGTTGCTGTTCGCTGAATAGCTACTGCTGGGCATTACTTCTTGCAAACGTTTTGTTTTCCTCCATGATGCCCTAGTACGGATCTCTTGTGTTTGTCCTTGCCTTCCTTCCAACTGAGGAGGCGGGTCCTTGTTGGTTGGTATCATCCTGAGAGTGATCTGGGTGAGCATCGCACGCATTACGGGCCACGCCGGAAGATGTTTGTATCGCCATTGCCTCGAGATTCGGACATCCCTTCCGTCACACCCACCGGGCAAACGGTGCTTGTAGCTAATGCGCCGGACTCTCCGCAGCGCGAAGCTGAACAACGCCGAAGTTTCAAGAAGTATCCTGGGGGGAAACTCTGTGGAAAAGCCACTCTCGGTGAAAATACAGGAAACCAGTGGCGTAAAGGAGCCAGCGTGTCTTCAGTGCAACGACTAGGATCAGTTGATCCTGAAAACGGGGACGTGAACCTCACTGCCAGTTTAGAGACTTTTATTGCGGGCGTCCAAGGGCAGCAGACAAAGACTCATCCGGTCTCCGTAATACCCCATAATTCCCCATTCGAAAACGGAAGCGGAATAGGAGAAATACGCATAGATTCTGCGAATAACTTGCACGGTAGCAGAGAGGGCGAGACTCGTGAAGGACGCGCTGGCAGTACCATGGATGACTACGGGCGCTCTAGCTACGCGCAGTCTGCACTTGGCTCTGTCTTCCCAGAGGCTTACGCAAAACCTTATTCTGTAACGGGGGGAGGTGGACCTTCAGCAATGCCAGCCTCTAGTTCGTACCAGGTAGTGCTTTCGGACGGCACTTCCTACCCGTCTGCAGTGTTTCCTGCTGGTGAGCAGATGAAGGCATTCTTCACTATGGTTGCGTCGTGTAATCCGAGCTCATGCGGACTTGTTGCAGACGCTTTTAAATAGCAAGTGTCCTTGTGTTCCTGTGTTCAGCCAGCGGACGGGACGCTGCACGGAGCTCGTTTCCTCAGGCTGCAACACCCCAGAACTATTCCTCTCCTGCTCATGTTGCCGCAGAGATCCCATCATTTCCCTACACAGAAAGTACAGTTCCATGTTATCCACGTTTTCCAGACTTACTCACCAGAAATTACTGTGTCTGTAGAGCGGTGGAATGGCTTGAAGTGTGCTGCTTCTCGCTGGGGACGACAGTGTGTGTTCTGTGCAACAAACTTATTGTTCTTTGTGCGCAGCAATTCACTACGCGGAGCCAGCAGCGACTGTGTCCCCAGTAGCTGGTGGAACAACGAACTACTACACGTCCTGTGAGCGTAAATTGCTAGCTGCACCGGACGCGTTGCGTGTGCATTAGTTTGTTATCACGTGTGGTACGATTTAGTGCATCCCGTTTCACGTGTACGGTGATCGAACACTCGACACCGTGATTAATATTCTCTGCCCTTACCCTTTTCCTTGTCCCAGATTACCGCCGTCAGTTCCCCGCCTCACCAATTGTGGCAGACTCTGCAATGGTAGGAGACGATGGCGTGCCCGCGGTCTCTTTGCCTCACGAGAAATACCGTATGAGGGACCCTGCCCATGCAACTTCGGATCAGAAATTTCCAAGTGATGAGCAAGCTGAGCGCTTCACTATTACCAGCTTAACCGAGCCAATGTTGTTGGTGGATGGAGTCATGGGTCTCCCGCTTAGAGGACAGGCTCCCTCAGATCGTGGAACATCCCTTCTGAGCAATCCACTTGCTCACGGAAGGGACAGTAGGCATTTTACGGCAAAGAAAAAGCTGCTGGTGAGGGCACACTGTAGAATCTTTGGACAACGCTGAAGAACCAGTCTTACGGCCATTGTACAGATCACACCCGACATTAGTGGATTGCTGCGTACTTTTTCAGCCTCGGCCCATGCAGCTCATCCACGTGAATCGATGGGACGGCAAGGAAGTCCTAACTGTTGGTCAGGCAATCTTCTTAGCAACCCTGCTAATCCCTTTGGTGGCGATGGCTCAGAGACATTGTCCAGCTTGCTTATCTGTGTATGCGTTGTTCAATTACGTCAAGAAACTGTGGTTTATTTTGCGTTTCCAGACGAAGGGGCACGCCGGTGGCTGTCGGAACTTACGACGAGATCCGTCGCCGTTATTTCTATATGCGGGGAGCTTCAGACTGGAAAGTCTGGACTTGCAAACCTTCTGCTGGACGAGTGGGTAGTGGGCCTATTTCTAGCGCTTGTTTTGTGTGTAGAGAGACCTGGGCACATTTTTGGTCATATGCTTCCTGTTCACGTCGCACTCTTTGCAACAAGGGGGGACATCATGTGACCTGTTTTTTTTTCAGCGACGTGATGTCCAGTACGGTTGGCTTCGCCGTCGGATCATCTACGGCAGCTCCAGCGATGCATAAAGGTTCACGCTTTGTGCAGCGAGCCGAATCTGATGGCAAGACTGAAGGAGTTTGGGTATCGGCTATCGAGGCGGAGGGCGACAAAGACAATTTGGTGTACCTCGTCCTTGACTTTGAAGGAATCGGGTCAGTAGGGAGTGTCATTTGCGCACCATATTACCTGGAGTTGTTGACGAAGAGGAAATTGAACTTACAGTGTAGGTATAGCTGGAAATAACACCAACACCTCCTGTGCGTGTTCTTCATTGTCCCAGGAGCAGGAGGAAAACTGTGGAGCACGATCAACGTTTATTCACCCTTGCTCTGCTTGTTTCCCACTTTCTGGTGTTTGTTACAAGGGGAGCTGTAGACAGCGACACCCTTTTCAGCCTGGCCTCAGTGAGCTCGCCAATACCCAAACACACGACCCCATCCCCATGGCTGTTTCAGCCATACTTTGTGGATTTGCGCATACCAAATCCTATCTTCTAACTTACACCCTATATCGTCAGTTTCCAACTGTACGCCCTTCGTGTGAGCCTTTTGTAGGCGTCAGCGTGGACGCAACGCTTGCGAGTGACCCATGTAGGAGGCGTAGATAGGCCAGACCAGAAACCGCCAACTCCAACTCATGTTGGTCCACCCACATCTCCCAGTCCAAAAGGCAAGGCGGATGCAGCGCCTGTGGCTTCGAAGCCGGGTATGAGTCCGTCAATATTCTGCCCATCAATCTAGAAATGAACGTGGGTTACGTATGACCAAGCTTAAGTCGCATATTCCTATTGTTGTCTGTGGCTGTGATATGATGAACTTGCAGTTTCTCATTCTCCGAACAACTGGAGGGCCCCTGCGTTGTTGTGGGTGATCCAAGACTTTAACATGTCCATGGTAGATGAACAACAAAACCCTTTAACAGCCGGTGATTATCTGGAAGCTCTGCTGAGCCTTACTCTCAGTAGGGACACTCAGAACCTCAGCAAGTTGGCTCAAGGGTTGGAGAATTCTCAGATTCGTATGGCACGCCAGGAGGTATCGGATCTGTTCGATGATCGTGACTGTGTCACTCTGCCATCCCCACTTGGCCAATATGTACCGTACCAGCAGCAGGCATCCTCCGGCCAGACTCAAGGAAGGGCTCTGGAGGCAGTCAGCGTCTCTGAATTTGTACCTCTTTACCAACGACGTCTTGCTCAGCTGCGCTCTCGCGTCTTTCGCGATTGCAAAGGGAGGGCTATGGATGGAATTGCACTGACAGGCATCTCACTTACAAGAATCCTGGAGAAACTCGTCGAAGGAATTAATGCTGGGGAGGTTCCAGAGAGTGTTCGTCTCCTGGGTTCCATTCAGCATGACGAATGCAGGCGTTGGAAGCAAGTGTGCGAAGACGCATTTACAAAAGAGCTTCGAGACACATTCCAAGCAAAACTACCGGTGCCGACAAAAGAATTGCAAGACGGAGCAGAACAGTTGCAACGCAAGTATTCGGAGCATTTCAAGATCCACGCAATCGGTTAGTCGGCAGCGTGGCAACCGCCGTTCTATGTAACTGACCAGCCTTGCAAATACCCCAGATTATTCGTTTGAATCTTTTATCTGGAGGCTCTAGAGGGCGCTGGAAAACAAACACACATGTTTGGCCGAATCCAATGTTTTGTGGGGTTCAGGCGATGATGAGATTCTTCGTCACTACAAGGCACAGTTAAAGGAGAAGCTTCGCCGAATTACTGAACGGGCGCTAGAGGAGAACGAGGTGAGTAGGGTCACTCTGCGCAGCTGGCACATTCTCCTCTCTCGTGGGCTACTGCTACTGGTGCTCCACAGAATATATTGGCTCCTTCGGTGGACGGTACTATTTGCAAGTTACAAGCTAGTTGTCTCAAGTATTAACTTTGTAACGTAGCCTGTTTCGTCTCCTCTAACGATGCTTCACGAGGACCGTTCCTAGAGCTATGACACACAGCAAATTTGGCACGTTCTGATGTTTATTCATGGCGCGAAAACTGCGGATTGTCTTCAGAGACACGCCGAGTGGAAGTGCAGACAGAAGGCAAAACTCCTCAGTGACAAACTTGGCATAGATCAGAAAATAAACGGGAAGTTGTACATGGATCTACAAGCGCTCAATGACGACCTCGCTCTACTACGCCAGGAGTAAGTCCCCAGCACTGTCAGGATTGTGCCCCCACTTGGGATTATTTGCTAACCGTAGAGCTGGCTGAGGCCTGCTTTACGCACCGTCCATAGATGGGTATGTGGTAAAGGTACAATGCGGAGGCACGGGGCCCACAACATGTTCATCAACGCGTCCTTAACGACTACATCGATCAGCTGTTGTCTAAGGGTGCAAAAGCGGTTGCCGATGCCTTGAAAGATTTGGCCCGTGACTCAGAGGTACGGCTATTCCTGTTGTTTGACATCGGCTATACCTTGCTGCTGCCGGTGATTCGTTCGTATACCTGTTTGGTTTGTGATTGTCCATGCACAATTGTTTTCGCCATTGACGCCTCAAAATTCCGATTGTTTCAGCCATGTTTGTACGGTTTGCGCAGCGCACCGCTGCTCTGCTGCACCAGAAGACGATGGATGCCGAACGGAAGAGTGATAAAGCAGTGAAGCTTGAACAAGAGTTACAGAATAAGGACTTGTAAGGCAGTGTGGAAAGGTCTACTAGATATGAGCTCTTATCGTATTTCGAAGCACCCACACTGTATCTGTATCGTGTAGGTGTCCAGGAAATGATTTGTATGGTTGCGTCTGTTCAGTGAAGCGGAGCAGCTCCGCCGTGAGCTTGAGGATGAGCGTGAGCAGCAGACTCTTCAAGAAGAACGCCATAGACAGTAAGCCACACGGGGACTCACATAATCGCCACAAGTACTTGGTGGATGTGTTCCGCACGCCGGTCAATAGAAGTGGTGCTCCTATTGTACGCATCCCTAGGCAGCCCATAATATTGGCCTGTGTTACTTTGGTACCAGGGAGACAAAGGAGCTGCGTCGTGAATTGGCAGAACAACGCGAAACCAACCAGCGGCTGAGCGCCCTCTACCACTCACGTGTAATGGACGAAGATGATGGATACCGTTTTGGAGTGAGACGGGGCAAGCACAGCGCCGTTGGCTTAAATGATCAGCCTCGTTGCTTTGGCAACAAGTGCACAATCATGTAAATTGAAGAACGATATTCTAAGTTGACCGTTCGTGATGAAAGCGATGTAACCTCCAGTCCCCATTCGGCAACTACGACGCCGAATTAATGCTTTTTTGACTATGCACAACTTCCACTTTGGCTTTGGCTTTAGCTTCACATCAGTGGAAAAGGGCCACCGCGGTGCGCGTTCACCCTTGACTCGATATTTTGCCTCTCTGCTGTACTTGTTAGAGGTACTATTTTAAAAACTTCTTGATGTACATGTATATTGGAAAAGTGTCAGCAGTCTGAAATGTACCTGAGTGACAGCCTGACGTTCACTGTCGCAATATATCTGGAACCAACGGAAAGCAGTGTGTCCCATCGTATCCTTCCTTCAGAGTGACCCTGCTGTAGCATTCTTGAATGGGGCATACAAGTGTGTGCACAATCCAGGACTTCGCATTATTTACCTTGCGTTCGTTGCTTCGTATTTTGTCCGTTTTCCCGTATCTGAGAGCAATCCGTATGTTTAATCGGTGAATTGGCTCATCGGAGGGAGTATCCGTACCGCTTCATCAACGAAAAGGCTTCATGACTGAAACTACTGGGGGAGGCCACTAAGAAAAGAAAAACAGAATTTTTCTTGTAAGGCCTATCAAAAAGTGGCATCAGCTAAAGCTGTGACGGCTCTAACCCGCCGACAACTCCACAGGGCACTGTCAACCCGCAGAGGAGTCCTCGGTTTCTGTTTCATTAGGCCATAGACACGCTGCACAGTTTAACAGAGAATCCTCTGTCTTGAGATCTGGGCCACTCAAGTGCCTCATCATTGTTGATAATCTGAGCGTGTGGGGGCTTCGGTGCCCTTGTATGTCCTGGATACAACGGGCGTGCACGGTAGGTTGCTTCGGTGGAGGTTTTGGTAAAATGCTAGACGCTGGTCAAAGTTTGCATGGGCATATACGTTGCCTGTTGCCATGGCGTATGACTGCTGTGCCATGCTGTTGACTTGGGCCTGCTCAACACGCATTTGATCTTCATTCATGAATGTACCAGTGGTATATGCCGTGCCTCCTACGAGTTCAGTGGTTCCCGGGGTTTTCTCCTCGTACCTCTGAGTCCACAGCAATTTGAAACGTGAAACAGTCCATAGCATATCACTAGAACAGCAAATAGTACGAATACAAGGGAATGATTACAAGCTACTCATCAACGGACTTCAGAGTCTTGTGGTTGGGAGCAGTAACATCCAAAGCCAAATCTGTGCGTGGTAGGGCTCGGTTGCTTACGGGCATGCAGTACTGCATCAAGCCGCAGCCAGCAGGATCTATGCATTCAGTGGCGGCTTCACCGCACTGTGCAGCTGCTGAAGCATCCATAGGGCAACCTTGGTTGCAAAGAAGATCTTCAGGGTTCAGACACTTATATTGCCCGACCCACATCTTTGGCTTGTCTTTGTTCGGGTAGAATATGTATGTCCCATGACCATTTCCAGTTTGATCTAACAGGGGCACAGAACGCAACTGCAAGATCAAAGAGGATTATACCGGCATTCAGCCAGCCAAATAAAGTAGTGGAGTGCCCTGGAGGATCAGGGAGGATCTGAAGAACGCTTACTAGAGAAGTCGAATGAACGCGTCTGATCTAAGAGCCGCTTCGGGAAGTCGGGATCCTCAGGAAGTTCTGCATCGCCCTGAATCGCATTGTCAAATGCATATTGAAGGTGGTCTTATCGTGGAACGTATAAAAGTCCCATAGCCAGCACCGCGTATGGAATCCATTCGTGCCAGTGCTACGCATACAGGATCAGGTATCACGTGATAAGCACCACGTATAGGACCAATGCTGAAGCCTTAGTCCTTCTCCGGGGAAAACCACAAGGAACTCCCGCTGGTTTTCGCAAATTTACACAATATTCCGTCGTAGCGTCGTGCTCATAATGCAAAGAAGAGCGCTGCCGCCCGCAGCGGAGAAACCCAGCAGCACTCTTGCTAGAGTGTATGCCACATAGTTAGTAATGGTAATTGAGGCCAACTTAAAATGCCTGTGCTCGCCTACGCTGTGGGAATACTGAGTGGCAACACCAGCAATAGTCCATAGTTCAGCACACAAACCGCTAGCGGCAAAACCTGCAAAACCTGTGTTTGCAGTTTGCACGCGGTACAATCTGCATCTGCAACTTGAACCTGCAAGTTTTAAGATTCTCCCTTCATAGTAGGCAGACGTTTTCTCACCTCTCTGTAAGTTTTGACGTATGTGTGGCACTGAAGGTCCTTGGTGGCAATGCGCTTCGTTTTGTCGTCGGCGCTCGCGGTGTTCCCCATCCTGCACGCTGTCCGTGCCTGGGCTGGAATGGACTTTCCAAAAAATGAACAAGCTAAAATGGGAGAAGCTTTTCTCAGGGGTCTCAGGAAGGGTGGGGATCACAAGAACTGCAATGCTGTAACTCGGAGGCAGCCAGCTCAGGTCGATGCAGGCCAATCACCTCGCCGCACTGCAGGCAGGCAATGAGGACTACTGCTCTCTTATAAGTTTTTTCAGATTATATTATCATTAAGAATTGTCAGCACTGAGAGAAGGAAACCTTTTGAGGGAACTCACTGGGATGGAAATGAAGAAGGTCGCCGATCGTGACACGCGACAGACCTGCTGTCGGTTGACCTTAGCCGTGACCAGCACGTCCCTTTGGTGGGCATGGCAAAAAGAAGCCACTCCCTTACTTCCGAAGGTCTAATTTTTATCTAGAACCACTTCTCGAGCAAATTGCGGTCAAGTCTTCGAGCTAAAAAGGTCGTTAGAATGCCAGTTCGCATTGTCCATCTGCATTAGAGGCTCGGCTACGCGTTTACCCCTGGAGTGGACACAATGGATGTGCATGCCTGCAGGCATCATTCAGTGGTAAAAACTTAGAGTTAAATGAATATAACCACCTGACAATTAGTGAAGTGGTGGGACCATCTTCCTGAATTCATCTCCGTTCTGTGCAGTCGCGCTAGTTGGCAACACTGCAGCCTGTAGCCCAAGTCCGACAGAAGAAGCCCTATGCATGCGTCTTATGCTAGTGATTTATGAACAATACGCCGAAATTACTGCTGTGTGGGTCAAGCTAACTATGCTTTCTGCTTTGCTGCTCACCACTTGAGTGCGGCCCCAGAGACCAGTAAAACTCCCTGTTTTCGGAAGAAAACCTAATGGAAAAGCTTGCCTACTCTGCTTGAGAAATATTTCAGGGCGAAACAAGCGAATGCAACTCAAAAACTTGTTCGCACCATCTGCAGTGCCTACTTAGTCAATGGTTGCCTCTAGGTATTCGCGACAGATTGATCATCGCAGGCGTTTTCCCAACAATCCACTCAGGGAAAAGCAACCGTTTTCCTGTCAATTTACTGTAGTATTTCCGCCTTTCTTGGTGCTTTGCATCAATGGAGTGTTGCACAAGTTCTTGAGACATAAGTACTCTTAAGTTGTGTCTTCTTACCCCAATCGTGCTGACTACTTGCGGGCAAAGTTGGGGGATGTTTATGTGCTTCCCTCATTCATTTTAGAAGGGCACCATTAATGCTATGATGGCATTTCCGAGTTGATGCTAAATGGGCAATATAACCCGAGGTGATGACGAGTGAACTAATAGCAAAATAGCCTACCTAACGTGCATCGAACTTCTTTGGCTGCTCCCACTCATGCGCGCCTTGGAATGCGGAAAAACCACCAACACGGAGCCGGATACTTTTAAATTAATTGCTGGACGTCATTTGACTTAGTGTTTAACTTGGAATTTCCGTGCTTTCCTTATGCATTCCCGTACTGCTCCTAGCTTCGTGGGGAAGTCTAAGGGTGCAGACATATGGGGCTGGCATCCAACAGACAGATCTAACGTCTGGTTGGCCCACAGTGTTATGGAGCGGACCAGGGAAGCCGGACGGTAACGAGTCAAAGGGATCGATGCTGCAGCGTAAACCCAGTCCGCACAAGGGAGGCAATCAAGCCACAGCAAGAAATTCTTCCGGGTATATAGTTGCACATACCGAAACAAGGTGGGGTTAATGCGGTTGGTTTGACTGTATGCCTCCGTATGGCTTGGGGTTGTCCGGTTATAACTGATAAGTTACGGGGACCAGAAGGCTCTGCAAGGGTCCGGGGTTGAGAGTGTTCCTTGGCTTTTGACGCTGAGATTTTGGGCACATGAGGATGTTTTCCCGCCTTAAAGAGTGCATCCTACAGCGAAACTGTGATTTTACTAGATGCACTGTTCCTTTGTTTCCACCATAGGCCTCGCCGTGTACTTTTTGTAAAACTGTGTGCCAAATGGAGCTAGAACGTAGAATCGGAAAATTTCCTCTCTTCGCCTAGTACTACATGAGTTATTCGTTGATCCTCTAGTGGTTCATTTGTCACCCATTGTTGATCTTTGCTACCAATGCCCCATACGTATTTACGGAGCACGATGAACGTAATTTTGAAAGGAAACCGGTATTTCCAGAAACAAGCGCCGTTGCCGAGCACAATGCCTGACTGGTAGAACAATGCAGGAGTGTTTCGGCAACTCCGTTGTTGGTACTATTCGTATACTTTAACATGAACCGTACTGAGCTGGCCAGCCGAACCATCTACCGACACTATTGCACTCTTGCTGTGGACGTCTTCAAAACTCTTCTTCGGATGTGTCTGAATTGATGAACGGTGTGAACTGTGAGGCGCCTACCATATAAGTAATGCCGACAACGCTTTCTTCCCGTAGTACGGCATAGGGCTCTTTCTCACTCATTTTTGTTGCTATAAGCTGCGTTGCAACTAATGGCATTCCACCTCCTCTACCGCAGTTCCAGGTGTTTGGCACACGCATCTAAAGACGCTTGGGGACTGGAGAACGAGGTCAGTTGCATTAACGGAACTCTTATGACAAATATTTCGGTCCCACTGCAACGTGCGATCGTCGGATGAGATCAAGGGCTCGCGTTACAGACTGTGCTACCTTCACATTTCATTTGCGGCCAGAAACAAGTACACCAATGGAGATCGTAAGATACCCCTGTGGACTAGCAGCATTCAAGTAGAAGCAAATATGATACAGCCCCCTGGTTTCGTAGGGCCTGAAATCGGGGTGGCACCCGCTGGGGAGACTCACACAGCGCAGGCACACACACGGATGACCTCGATCCATTTGTACGTAGGAGCTGCGCACGCTTAAACAATACAAATGGAGCCAACTTAGCATTCTTTTCCAAGCAGGTGTTCATGAGTTTATCGTAGAAGGAAGTGTACACTCCGGGTTACAGAGGGTCTGTGGCTGGGCAGCCCTGCTGAACCCCACAGCTGAGGGCGAGGCACCCTGCACTTGGGCTCTTTTTGTCCTTCCCTCAAAAGCCTAACTCATTCTTAATAAGCTTGTAGAAACGCACTTTACGCTGACAAAGTGATTTCCCTCTTCCCTCGAATGGCCGCAGACCACAGTCTGTGACGCAATCGAGGTGTCCCCTTTTGTCTTGTCACTTCGCCACAATGAATTTGGCCTACTGTTTTTCCTACAAATGAGCACAATTAAGACTTCATGCACTTACGGGTTTTCTTCAGAGTTTTCAATATAAATATTTCTAGCTACATATAAGCGAGGACAGTTCGCCGGGACCAATCAGCTTGAGCATGAAGCTGTAATATTGCTGGGCACTCAGGTGTCAAAGGGAATGTGGAAGCACAACTTGCACGTGAGCCTGGTGGTCCTTGCTGGGATTGTGTCACTCTCACTCTGTGATGCGAGTGACCTCAACAGCGCCTCCAACACAGTCGAGACCCCGGCATACCTTCCATACGTGGACCATACCCAACGCTTGCGAACGCATTTGCCTAGGTCCATCCCTTTTCCAGTCCCCAAAACTCCGCAGTCTCAAAGGCTGCTTCGCCTACTGGCAAGCTATGCTGCAGCCTCGGCTCTGGTGTTTCTCATCTTATCCTGCTTCCTGACGTTCGAGTCTTTCAGGAATACGAACTCCCACAACAGAGGGCGTTCCCTTGCGGAGAAATATGATGAAAAATCTTGCCACGATGATGCGGATACTGGCGAGTTTGTAGTAGGAACTGTGGACCGGCGAGCTTTGCACGCAGTACACAGCCAGCTGGCGTATTTAAATGTACCAGAAACCGCACGCCAACACCTCAACAGATCTGAACACCAGCTCGTTTCTACAGCAAAATCTGTTTTGCTCGGCTACCATAAACGGCTGACAACTCTTCTCAACGGCGTCGCCGAAGCAAATACACCAGAGGCAAATACGGCGCTGATGGAGATAGACCACATACGGGCAGTGCTAGGATCAATAGCATGGTCGCCATCCCAGAATATACAAGCGCTGCTCCACAGGGCTACAGCCTACTCGGAGGGGAGGCAGGTGCCACATGCCGTGTCGGCAGCCGTGGCCGCGGCCGTGCGCGTGAACGATCCAAATAAGAACATGCCAATAACCATAACCGAAGAACAGCAGCAACTCGTGTGTGAGATGGTGAAAGGCATACAAACAGAGATGAGCAGAGCTATAGACGCTCTCCAGAACGAGCGAACTCCCCATCCGTCAGTATTGGAGACCGCAAGGACCCTGCTAGGTGAACAAGAACCCCTTCGCTTGCAGCTGAACACAGTGGGCATGGCCGAGGTCTCAGCAGAGTTAGCACGCGTTTCTGAATACCTCAGAGGCGCCCTCACCCACTGTATGAACCGAAAGCCGCGAAGAACCGCCAGCATGCCTAGTAGGTTTGCGACCCTGTCCCTAAGCCAACACCGAGAACAGGCTGCTCCGGCTGCAAAAGGCGCTCAGGCATTATTGCAGCCCACCAGTTCTTTCTCCTCCCTGCCTCCCAAAGGACCGAAGGGTGCGAAAGGCCCCTGCTCCAGGGGTCCTCACCAAAAGGCACATGCTCTCAGCGAGGAGCCTCGGTCATCTACTCTACTTCGGAGGCGTGGATCTGAGAACAAGGGCAGCACATTGCCCAGATCCACACAAACTGAGGAGGATTCACCTAGAGGAGCTGGTGTGGGCCCTGAGACGCAACCAATTGACGTTGAGAAAACACGCAGGCTGACCTCTGCTGTGAATCAGTGGACGGATAAGTGTAGGGGCTCCTTGCAAATGCTCCTTAGCGGAACCGCCAGAGAAGAGTCTCTAGAGAAGGTTGCACTGAATGGACATCATCTGTACCGTGAGGTCACATCTGCAACTGTGGACTCTTCTGTCGACGGTGCAACCAGCCGAGCATTCTGGGAGTCGGTGGATACGCTGAGCGTTGCGCTGAATTCACTGCATAGTGAACTTATTCGAAGCTGGTTGGACAAGGTCGCTGATTCGCGCCATCGGTTGACAAAAGCTCGTTATAACCTACAAGCTTCCGTAAACGAGCTTAGCGCCGATAACCCTCCAAGAGCCGGTGGGATGTGCATTGGCGATATGTCAGTGGTTAGAGCTACTGTAGATGCAACAAAGCGACTTTTGGGAGACCTTTCGCGCTTCCTCGGTGTAAGCAATACCCATCAGAGACTTTCCGACGCTATTGAAGGTCTTCGAAGCACCGTGGCAAGGGCTGAGAAAGAGCTGCAAGAGGCCATTGATTCTGTTTGTCGGATATGGAGAAGGGCACTGGAGAATGAAGTGGAGGGGAGGCCAGCAGTTAGTCCTCCACACACTTCATCAGATGCGTCAGCTACCCGGCACAGCACCTCCTCGAACGTTCCACTTCTTGCATGCGCAAGGGGTACAGTGCAGGTCCTACAACAGCTTGGTGGTCAGTCAGTTGAGCTTGACTTACTTCTCCAGTTTTTCGATAGACAGGGTAGGGGGAGCTCGAAGAAAAGATCTGGGCTTTTTCGTGCCTTCAGTCTGCGCCGTGGCCGATCGTCTAGTGGTTCACGTACTACCTCAAGCCTCCCGAAGGAGACATGACATTTTGTTTTCGTGTTGTTTTATTGCTTCCCCGCGGTGCCACCGTCATTGTACATTCGGTGCCTGGAGCGCCTACCACTACGTGCCAATTAGGCATACTTCCACATATCTGCGGATGTTCCGAAGAATGTGTTATGCCATTTTATGTAGTCTTTTGATGCATACGTGTACCTTCCTTGTCTGCACAACAGCCGGGACATCTGTGTTCGAAGGCCATGCCAAGACCAAATAGTAAAGATCGTGCACGTTTCTTCACACCTCATAACCGAGCGTCACGCCTCAACGCATTGCCGGCAGTGAAGCTCTGGAAAAACGGCTTAGTGTTTATTTTTGTCAAAGGCGAGAACCTTCAGCCTAGATGAAGACTAACGACGAGGGCAATCCATTTGATGTGGGCGGCCGAGTGGGCTGCCGTGTGGAGCAGGGCGGGAAAGCAGGCCGACCTTGTGTTTTTTTTTCGCAGAGTGCCGCTACTGCGTAGACTTCTTTGCCCAGCATGCGCTTTGGTTCGAATGCGCGAATGCAGCGTATTAAATGACATATTCCATAGGAATGCCGGAAGTGGTCCAGAGTAGCCTAGTCAAGCATTGTTCTGGCGCCTTAGGTGGAAATGCAAACCCCTAAGTCTTTAAGGTCTTTGGTAGAACGACATCGCAGTGCCTTCGTGCACCCAATACTCTAGCCAACAGTCCATACAGTCTTCGTTTCGTTGTAACAATAGGAATTCGGATCGGATGCTGCATCTGCTTCAATAGGCACACTATTGTGGAGCCTGTGTGGATGTTCTTCGTTCCGGTCTGATACCAAAAGTAGGTGTGTATGCACTTGCATATCTGTACGCTGACAGGCGGGAAACAAACAAGTATTTTCCAGGCATATCCTGTTTCAATGCGTGCTTCAATATGGCAGTTTGGTATGCTTGGGTGTGGTGCTGCTCTGCTCCAGCAGCTACTGTGCAACGAATACTTCGCGGCCTAAGCAGCGAGCAGTTTAAAAGCTTTGGTCGACTTAAGCTCTCTAAAATAAATTTACAAAAAGGTAGTTGGATTTCCACAGTATCTCCTCGCTTCCTGTGTACTCCGGCGGAATTGCCAGGGTCCTGCAGGGTGAGGAGATGCCTACCCAGAGTTAGAGTGTTTCTTGCTCGGAACCTGCCCCGGGAAAACGGAATCTGCAAGAATATGCAGAACCTCACTCGCTGCACCCAACAAGACCATAGGCAACTTCTACACACTCACTTGTGTCTTGCAGCCATTCTCGCACACAAACTAGTGCACACCTACAGTGAATGCATATACTTCAGGGACATCCAGCCTCATTCCTCATTATTCTCTGCAGAAATTGATGCTTTCCTGTCCCTTCAATAAACTGATGGTCAAATACGACCCACCACCTACTCTGATCCACCGCGCGCTGCAAAGCTGTAGATCCGAGACTCGGTCGTGCAACAGTTAGTCTGACTTTGATGGTAAGGCAAAAGGGTGCTAAGAACCATTCAGTCCCTACGCACGGAACAGCTCAGATTTGAGGATACCACTTAGGGTATTATTTCGGATTATTCTATTTCATCTAATATATGCGCGTCTGTTCGTGCACGATTATTGACTATGGCGGCGACAGAATTTGTGCCTCCACGTCACCTGCATCCCACATGAGGGTTCACCTAGACTTCTTCAAGGAATCCACCATAACCGAAACTTGTTATTCTGAGTTTTTGAAAGCAAGACGTCAAATAAGCTTGTGTCTTCTTTGAAGTGGTATTGATACGTTCGTTCGTTGGCTCTCCGCGTGGTCACTGGAGCGTACCCCACCCCCCGCACCGTTCGCATCCCGCTCCATCCTCATCTCCGACAGTGAAAGCAAGAAAACCACAAAGACACACAGCATTTATGATGAAATATGAACCATTCTCTAGTCTGACGCAGTTTTCATCCCACAATACTACTTCAGGGGCGTTCTTTTCTCCCCATTCCTCCAATTGCGTCTGCTGTCTTCTTCTGAGCTTTTCAGGAGAACGGATAGGAAAGGCGCACTTTCGAGCAGCTCCACCACCATGCCAAGAGGTGCCTCTGGGCACCAGCAGCTCTTTATACTTTAAAAATAATGAATCTGGTGTTCCTTGTTGTAGCCCTGGCCGCAGTGGGTCACCAGGCCCACGTCAAGGCCTCACCTCCAAACAATGATGGCTCAGCTGCCTACAGTATTGCTAACGAAAAGGCTGGTGTTTTTGGAGCCCATTCCTTTTCCCTTGAGAAACATGTTCAACATCGGTCCGGCACCCGTCTCTGGAAGGGGTCGTCCTTGGGTTTGGTTATGACCATCCCAGTACTTACGGTGGTGTTCCTCCTGTTTTTCTGTTTTATGCGCTTGAATAAGAACAATGGTCATTCAATATCGACGCAAAGTAGGCGCCTTTCCTCTGAGAGGTTGAGCCCATGCAGCCCGGATGGAGGGGCTGAAGGTGAACTTTATCCTTCAAGCCCAGGAAGCGGGCTCAACTCTTCCCATGACAAGCAGCTGAAAAAGTTGCAACTCTCAGTTTTGGATTCAGAGGCTTTGACTACAGAGGAAATAGCATCGATAGAAGAGGCGGGGAGGGTTTTACAGCGTGTTTTGGACGAGGCTGAAGGGCTTGAAATACAGCTGGCTTCTCTACATTCTTCATACATGCAGCATAAAAAGATGATGCAGCAAACACTAGAACGCAAAGGCCCTGAAACAATTAGTGAACGGAAGAAGTTGGAGAGCAGGCTTAATGAGATACGGAATAGGATCGAGATGGTCAAGGGCAGTTTGCACTGGAGAAAGCAAAAGTCCCGCTCCATGATCTGGACAGAACAACAAGAATTGGGGGAACTGTTGTTGCGGGCGAAGTATTTTGCCAGTGGAAGGAAGCTCACTCCAGCCGCAGCTGCTGCGCTAGTATCGCGCGATATTGTCTTCGGATATAAAGCAACGGAGGTGTTCGACGATGCAGCTAGGTTCGCTCTAGGGGCTATGGTAAAGCGCCTAACCGATGAGGGAAGAGCCTGTGAAGAGCTCCTCGCTGCAGAAGACAGATTCCTCTCAAAAGAAGAAGAACAACGTGTGCGGCGTGCTTTGGGTGAGTTAGATACTATGATGACCCAGCTTTGCCTTCTGGAGTCAGCGTATGGACCTTCAGGTCACCGGCAGCCAATTCTTGAGATCCGTCAAAAACTGGAGAGGCTAGAGGGAAAACTCACGCAACAACCAAAGCCCCACATGCCAGCAAGTCGCAAGGTCGTGAAACCAACTGGTGGTAGCTTACTTCATGGTGAAATGAGACAGACGCTAAATCCATTGGCCACTGCTGCACGCTCAAGATGGAGCATTGCCGGGGGATATGCTTTAGGCGGCCGCCAGCCGTCAAGAATGTCTATGCCCAGCCTCAGCGGCTCTTCCGGTTCTCAATCTGTCCGTGTGCCAGCTCTGGGTACCCGTGGTAGGAGGGCATCTGTGGCCGCGTATGGTACGCTTCCCCGAGGAAGCACTGCTCTCCCAAGCTTGCCGGCAATGTGGTCACAAAACCAGCTCGACACAAGACGGGCTCCGTCTTTATCAATGCCCCTTCAGCACCAACGTACGGTCACCAGGGGGGAAGATTCAGGTACATCGGCGTTCGCCGAACAATTCCTCCAACTTCTAGCTCAGCAACGCCCATTAGCATCCTCCAACCAACAAGCTGTTGTTCCACCTGCACCACAATATAAGCTTCATGCCGAATCGCTCTCTCCTACTCGCTCATTTACACCGTCCAGCCAAGGGGCGTTTGCTAAGCCTGCGCTCGTAAGCAGCCCCTATTCCGAATATGGCACTCCATCACCCCAAACCTTCCCCGAGCAACATGCTGCTATTCCACGTCCTCAATTAGCTAAGCAGCAAGCCATTTATGGCACTCTTCCCCGCCAACCTGTCCCAAGGCAACAGGCTGCTGATCTACCTGAGCCACCATCCCCGATAGGTTACAGGTCTAGGTCTTCTTCACGCCGATCGCTCCACAAGCCTCAGCTAGGTGTTATACCTGAGGAACCAATTCAGTTATACTCCGACTATGGCACACTTCCACGCCATACTACTTTCCGCAGCCGACTGCCTGATGATCAATACCCGGAGAATCATGCATCATCTCAAGCACATATTCGACTACCTATAACGGATCACCAGCAACGTCTCGACCCTCCTTCATCTCTTCAGCAGCCCGCACACCAACTCCAGCCTCAGGAAGCTGAGGAGGTTTCAGCCCAGACATCCCCTCAGTCTCTTCCGCAACAGCATCATGACCCATCATCATCTCCTCTGCAGTCCGTACACGAACGTCAGCCTCTATATGAGGAGATTCCAGCTGTTATATCCTCGCAGTCTGCGCAGCATACTACCCATATCCCACTGACTCCTGAACAGCCGACGCAGCCCTCTACAGCTTCCCTTTCCGCAGCCACGTCTCCCAAGACACCTGATGATATGAAAGAATCCGGAAAGTCTTCTGGAAAGAAGAAGCAGAGTAAACAGTCTAAGTCTTCTAAGGGTGGAGAGCACCGACCGGAGCTTGGGGCTGATGATCGTCCCTCTTCCAAGAGTAAGAAGTCCTGGCTTCTCGGCTGGAAACGGAAGGGGAAGAAAAGGCCTCACCTTGAACTTCCTTCTCCTCCATCAGCTGCACTATCCCAAGGGCCTTTACGGCCGATTGCAGATCCACCCACGTCTACTCCTGTAGCCATGCCTTCACAAAGGATCGAATCGCACCCTCCAGCTGCGTCTGAAGCTCCTTTCCCCCCTGTCCAACGGGTGCATGAGCATTCGTCTCCACTTCCTTCTCCCGCGTCCTCTGCTAGTCCCTCCGAAGCAATGAAAACAGGTAAATTTTTCCGGCAGTGCTAGACACCATCATTAACCATACGCATATTAAACTCACAACAAAAGCTGTTTCAGCCTTACCTTTAACAGCCACAAACAACGTCCATATTAATCACTTCACGAGTCTGAATATGGATATTCGGCATCTTCTAAACACTCACCCACATTTCTTATTGTAGCGTTCCTGCAGGGGCAGAGCTGCACTCTAAGCCTGCTTCCTCACTATATCTGAATCGCCCGGCCCTGTCGGCATCTGCAGAGCCGTCGCCCTCAAAACACGAAGGACCATCGTCACAAGAGCCGAATGCTTCTGCTACAGGCCCTACGGAAGCAAATGACGAAAGTCCCGGTAAGCTAAGCATCCCCTCACACCAAAGGTGTGCGCCTTCAGAAGAGGGTCTCGGTGCGTTCCCCGCTTCTACTTCCACCCAGCTTTAGCTCCCATCGGCACATGGTTCGTCTTCCGCTTCATGCAGCATTCCGTATCCTTCGACATATATTCTTTCCGGTGTGCTTGATATCCCATCATATGCTTTTTACCGTCAAGTGCTTTGCTGCAGAATGGGCTCTGGCGTCGGGCCCGTCGCTGGAAATATTGAAGCCAGACCATATTGAAGAGGTGGACGCACTTCTGCCCGTTGCTTCACAGCCGTTGCCACAAGACGAATTGGAACTCCCAGCAAGCCCTGCAGAAACGAATGCCGAAAGCCCCGGTAAGCTAAGCATCCCCTCACACCAAAGGTGTGCACTTCAGAAGAGGGTCTCGGTGAGTTCCCCTCTTTTACTTCCACCCAGCGTCAGCTCTCAGCGGCACCTGGCTCGCCCTGGTGCATCTTCCTCTCCACGCTGTATTCCGTGTTCTTCGACAATATTCTTTACGGTGTGCTTGATATCCCATCATCTGTTTTTTACCGTCAAGTGGCTTTGCTGCAGACTGGACTTTGCCGTCGACCCCCTCGTTGGAATCATTGCAACAAGACCATAATGGAGAGTTGAACGCACTACTGCCCGTTTCTTCACAGCAGTGGACACAAGACGAATTGGAAATTCCAACAGAAGTCACGGCAGCTTCAGATGCCGAGCTACACACTCTGCCAGTGGACACTCCCCACCTCTCAGCATCCAGCTCGACGGCGGCAGTGAGTGCCGATGATTACTGGGTCCTTCTCCCAAAAAGTGTAGTTGAGTCTGGTGGAATGGGCAATACACCAGCAGATGGCGTCCCTGCAAAAGATACACCCCCGCCTTCTCTGGAGGACATGCAGCGGCAACACGGGGATTCTCCTGTGCTACCAAGAGAACCCATTCCACCAACTGGACCCCACTCTACACCACCTGGAGAGGGGCCTACCACACCAGAGCATCTTCCGTCTCCAAAGGACAAACTGTCTGACGAAACCTCTTCTGCTACAGAGGAGGAAGTTAAGAAGCTGACAGAACGGATTGAGGAATTTGCAAAGCGCGCCGAGCAGGTGGCAGAGTCGGTTAAGCAGAGATCCGACTCCTTAAAGGAATCGGAAGAGCTCTACTTTAGAGGAAATGCTCTGGTAAAAAGTGCTTCGAAGGCTATCACTTCGTCATTCGTGGACACCGACATTGCTGGAAAAATTCAGCATCTGGTTGAGCACTGCAAAAGTTTATGTTCAAACTTCCAAGAGAGCAGTAGAATGTGGAGACAGAAGATGTCTGAACTTGATGACGCTCTGGCCTCCAAGGTGAAAGACTTGCAAAATTACCGGCAGACAGCGGCCACGACGCTTCCACAGTGGGATGTTCTAGAAAATCTGGAGAGTCTGCAGGCCGGTCTTAAAGAAGCACGTTCATTGTTGAAGGATCTGTCTACCCTCGGACAAAATTTTGCAAAGCGTCTCGACCTCCACTCGCTTCTTCAGCATGCTGGTGAAACCATTCATTCTGCAGAGGCAGAGCTGTTTTCGGTAGCTGGATTATGCGCTTCTAAGTACGCTAAAGCACTTCGCGAAGGCAGACAGGATGGTTCCGACAGTTTCTTGTCAGCAGGGCAAATGGGCGATAAAGATAATCTAAGAGTGATGGCAACCTCCTTTCACACTCGGTTGAGGCTATTAGGCTTGGCCAGAAGTGAACTTCAAGAACTCAAAGCGGCGATAAAGAATAGGCAAGACACGCACAGCACTCGTTGATTCGGGTAAATCGTTTATGCCACATGGACCATTTGCTAATTGCCGAAGCTGAGCAATGCTCAAAATTAACTCACCTTCCTCACTTGTCAGTCTGTCAAATCTTGTTGATTTTACTCTGTTGCTCTGCCGAAATCTGTGCTTCGGCTGGTTATTCTTCATCTACTCGTTATATTCATATGTTTGCCTTTCATTACCAAAGGCGGATTCTGTGCTGTCGCAACACCATGTACCTGCTGGCCTGTCCAACCATGCTCTCCTCGTGGTTCAGCATGCAACTCGTCTCGCAACTCGAGTCGCAACACCGCAACTCGAGTCGCAACACCATGTACCTGCTGGCCTGTCCAACCATGCTCTCCTCGTGGTTCAGCATGCAACTCGTCTAGTGCATGTTGCAAACGGCTCCGTTGCACATCGCCCTTGATCACTGTGTGCCATAAAGAAGCAACACAACCCTCGAGCGCCTAAGAAAAATATAGTGCAGAGTGCCGTAGCTGGTATGCTTTGCCAACCACTTCGGTCCAAGGCCACTCAACACGCCATATGCATTTTTGCTTACCACTAGTAATCGGAACTCGTTCTTCTTAGAACCGATTTCTCTTTCGCGTGCCGCGTTTGTAGAAGGGTATGAAGTACATTCATAGTACCGTTCAGGTACTTGGTTGCTTCGCAGTCAGGCTCCTTCACATGCTTCTTTCGCAGTGACGGAGTAGGTGCTGTTAGAACTACCTTGCTGCACCGGTCCCATAGTGCAGTTGTGGCTCAACATCGGCCCTAGTGAATATGCTACCGGCAGGTAGACCAGCTTTACTGAATGCTAGTGGGCTACTTGGTGTACGACTGGCCATAACATGCTCTCCTGCACTCTGGCACGAGCAACCCAAAGTCGCCACAAAAACCAGCAATATGGATCGTAGGCTTTCGGAGGTGTCGATGAGGCAGCACAAAATAAATTTGCTATCTCTGTTAGGAATGGTCCTACAGCCCCACATATGCGCTCTTGGGAAGAAAACGCATGCTACACTTAAGTTTGGCACGTTTTTGCCTCAAACCAGGTCAATCAGTTCACCAACCAGAATCATTCAATATTCTATATCTCTCAACTGTGAAGACTGAACTTTCGTATTGACTCACCTCTACACGTTTCGAGGAACCGGTAAGCAGCAAAAGGCGCAATCTCCGTCTACGTGTGGCTGTTGCGGATTCTCTGTAATATTGATGTATTTTTCATTTGGAAGGATTAGTATTAAATCATCTGTTTTTAAGCATCCGACACATGTAGAGATATCATTCAGTTTGAAAAGGCAAATTTCAAGAAGCAAGGAGCCGTAAGCAAACCTCCGGTTCTTAACAAAGAATTCACCAGGAATGCAAAGCATCCTCGCACGTTTGGACTGATACAACTAATGGGAATAACTTCTTTGCTTCTAGAACGTGCAAATCCTTGTGGGTATCAGTGGCGCCAGCTATGCAGATGGTTGTGATGCTGCGCTTCAAATGCCTCACATGCACCAACTGCCACAGAAGTGGAAACCATTGGATGCTTGGGACGCAGCTCCGCTGAAACAAAACGGCACCATGAACTGCTTTGATTCAAGGAATCACTGCATGAGATGACATGCCAAGTGTGACAACGAATAAATTTCTCTACATACTTGAAAGGGCCAAGGGTCGAGATAATAACTAGATAAAAACCCACACCAGTGCACCATCCGCGATATAATAACTAGATAAAACCGCACATTAGAGTACATCAACGGGAGGCGTACTCCAAGAAACGGGAGGACCCTCATCGATCGGCTTTGCAACGGAATCACAACCATCTCGCAAGTGCCCTACTCTCCTACTGAGTTTCCACTACTACGCCCCCGACAAGCTGGACTCGCTGCACAAGGCCACGCCGCATAATATATGTGCAGACGCGAGGAAGGTTAAGTCTTGCTGCTGCCGCTCCGTCTCGATGTGAGAATCGCTCGTAAGGCATCAAGTTCTTGTTGGCAAACTACTAGTTGCTCCACCCGGGAGACAAGAAGATCTACTTCCTCTAAAAAACCTGCCGGAGGCCTTTGTTGTGATTGATCTTCCTTGAAAGGTAGACTGGGGGCTTCCACAGGTCCGTGGGCGCCACGCAATGATTCAGTACTTGCCGTTTCTGCATCGTGCTCAAGCGCCGCTTTCCACTCCACCGCACAAAACTTTACTCCGTTGTGCACTTCTGCTCGTGCTTCAGTAATCGCTCCTTCGATGCTGCTAAGAAGAGCTGAAACTTGCGAAGACTGTACAGGAGGCGCATTTAAAAAAGCAAAATCAGCAATTGCTTCCCGTGATTCTTGCACAAGAGATTGAATCTTTTCCAGCAATTGCACATAATCACCATTTGGCAGGTCTGTAGGAGAGTGTGTCCGTTGATCAGCCGACTGTCGTGTAACGTCCTCCAGAACTGCCAATTTTGAACGCAGGCTAGTCGCCCACAACGGCGCCAAGGATTCGCTGAGGGTGCGACACAGGCTTACACACTGTTCTCTCTGCTGAACAAGCTCCTGCTTGACCCCACTCTCCTGCACCGGAGGAAAGGCAGAAATGAGTTGGTCGGATTGTCGAAGGAGCTGGAGACCATCTTTGAGCAGCACTTCTCCATAAAGCGACAAGACGGGGTCGCCCGGCTTGGCGGAGGCCACCGGCTCAGCAGTCTCGATAAACAATTCCAGTTTTACGGATAATTCCTGCGCTGCACTATCCAAATCCGTTTCGTCAGCGCCAGAAGGTTCGCCCTTTGTAAAAGGAGGTCGACTTGGTGGGGGAGGGTCATCGCCAGGTGGCGAAGGCTGGCCTCCAAGTGCGGAAGACGGCTCCCCTGGTGGCGGAGACGAACCCCCTGGTTGCTGCTGATCGCCGCCTGGTTCTGGACGCTGGCCTTCTCTTTTATCTGGCTGAAGGTCGTCCCCTTCCGACGCACCACCACCCTCTGTAGGACCAGGGAAATGTTCCGCCTTACTAGGGCCAGATGGCGTTGAAGGGTCACCATCAATCGGCGATTGACCCAGTCTTGAACGTTCCGGCTGCACACCTGCAGGACCTAGTGGTGGAGAAGAAGGGCTATCCTGGGTCAAAGATGGAGAATGTCCATTGCTGGTTGAACGCGTAGAATGTTTCTTGTGGCCGACGACGGGAAGTGATAACAACCCTGACGGATAGCTTGGCTGCTTTGCCGCCGATGTGACAACACTGGATGGCATCATATATTCAACTCCTGGACTCTTCTTCGACGACGGGGGGAGAGGCTTCGGTCGGGATGAAAGGGAACTTGATTGCGGTACATCGTTCCGATAAAGTGGGAACGCTCGAGGCCCCGAAGGCAAGGGCGGGTTATCTGTCTGTGAAACATCGCGCGAAGAGACAACTGGAATGGAGACAACGGTAGGAGTTATCTTTGATCCTTTGGGGGGGTCGGCTAGTGGAAGACGTTTTGGGAGAGCTGTTGTATGCCCTTGCGGCAGTGTGCGTTGGGGCTGGTGCAGCGGCTGTCGATATTGCCCAGGCGTGGTCGACGACCGAGACAGCGAGACACTCGATGGTAGACGGGGAGTGGCAGGCAGTGTGTGAGTTGATCCACGAGCCCCAGAAGCTGGGGACCAACTGCCACGACGCACGTCAGACAACGATCGAGACAGTGAGACATTCAATGGTAGACTGGGAGCGGCAGGGAGCTTGCGAGTGGATTCACGTGCACCAAAGGCTGAGGCCAAATTGCCAGGACGCAAGTCATACGACGATCGAGACAGCGAGACATTCGGTGGTGGACGGAGAGTGGCAGGAAGAGCGTGAGTGGATTCATGAGCCCCAGAACCTGGGGAGAAACTCTCATGGCGCATGACACGTGGTAGGGTACCATAATTAGCTCCGTGAGACGACGGACGGGGGTACGCATTTTCACCCGACATAGTATGCCGCCTCACAATTGTAGATGACCCTTGGGATCTATACGGTTGCGGAGCGTTTCCCTCGCGGGCGCGCTCCATATATCCAGTGCCAATTGAATCTGCTGTCATTGACAGACTACCCCGCAGCCTGTCCTTTGTAAGGAGTACGTCATTGACATGGTCGCGTAGCCCTACGAAAGGGAGTGCGATCGCAAAGTTATCGAGGTCTTGGAGGAGCGCTTTCCCTTTCTCTACAGAATCCCGTGATGAGGGTCTCTGCGTCTTGAGATCATCAGAAAGGAACGCTGCATTAGCAAGGGTCTTCTTCAATAGTGCTTCGATCACCAGGAGGTCCTTTTGGGTATGAACTTCACGAGTTCGACTTCCTTCCGCAACAACAACTTTTGTAGCTGCAAGAGCGCGTGCTGCACCAATAGTAAGATTCCCAGTACGATCTCTGGATTTTATGATGAGAGCATCTGCTTCTTGTTGCCGGCTCCAGACGGAAGCTGCTAATAACCGTTGCTTTTCTTGCAGCTGCGACTCCAGACTGTCCCGATCAAATTTAGTCTTTTCGATGAGGCTATGCACATTTTGCATTTCGATTCGTAAAGGTCCAATCGAGGTCCTTGATGTCGTACGTAATTGCTCTTGTAACCTGGCAATCGATCCGTTCAAAAACCGTATTTGCTGCTGAAGTTTTTCGATTTCTGCGTTTAAATTCACTAGCTTCCCCTTCGCAATGCCAACCATTCTGTTTTCTGTATGTGTAAGATGTACTGCATCTTGTTGGGTGATACTTAATGCTTGGATTTGACGATAATAAAAAGCGATGGGGTCCACTGTTTCCAGAAACCCTCCTGCTGTCGACGGATAGCACGGGCCTCCTGTTCCAGCGGCAAGATGCCTAGTTTGGTTCGTTGCAGACAGATCCAGGTGTAATTTTAAGTGCCGCGCACAGGCGGAGATGAGGAACGCCACAGCCGTAAAAGTGATGACCGCGATCGTAATGCACGTCCGGCTGGTGGGTGCACACCGGCGCAGATCATGCACGCTCGCCTGAGGAACATTGTAGAGCGAAACTCCAACATCTATATTGGCGGCAGTCTGAGCTGCTTCCAAAGATAGCATAACATCTGAAGCTGTTGAGTTAACTGTTTTTTCTTGTGCCACCCCGGCTGAAGGGGGAGCGGGGGACTGCTGCCCTTTCATTGTTTTCCTATAAATCTAGTTCGAGCGAAGACGACTAGTTCCTGAGTGTATTCGCATGATTTTAAGGCCAGTGTGTAAAGGCCTCGCTGGATATTTCTTTGAGCCGCCCCACGCGGACGGGAACTGCAGCACACCGGAGCTACAGCAGTTCACCAGATAGTAGGTGCCCTAACCTGGCCGTCCACTGTACACCGCCAAAAATATAAAAGAAAAACAACCTGATTCACATAATGAGTGCAGTGAAAGCTCGGCCCCTCTGATGGATTTGCTCTGCAGTGGTACCCCGCGTGGGAAGCGATCGGTTGAGGTTCCCCGTGTACAGGGACGATCAGCGACGATCACTGGTGGCAACTCCGGGACGAACGCCTTTCTGGAACGAATAACCTGATTATGCCAGGTAATAGTTCGGAAAATTTGTTCTGTATATTAAATGAGTGATTTGCATTCCTGTCGACATCTTGGAGTTGGTGTTTTGTAGAACAACTGCAAAAAATAATACGAAGACCCACCTGTCCCAGGCCTTTCTCTGGCCAGAAACTGTCCTGCTGGCACAGCTTCCTTCTGTAAATTTGCCCTACCTGAGTGCCACAGTGCTAAATAAATGCAGGCTTCTATTTAGGTAGTCGGGCAAAGGTGTTTCCGTACTGCGGGATCGAATAAATTGTACTGAAGTCCATTCAGGCAACACCATATTAGGGTGCCCGCACGAGTTCCCCACGAGTATCTAGCAAACCTCACACCTGGCCAGGTTTAGTTGGTGGTTTGGCCAAAAGTTGCATAAACTTGGACTGGAAGCATTTGCTGTGCAAAAATCATCAGAGGAGGTGGATTTGCTCTTTGGAACAAGTTCAATTGTAGCGGGCCTTGCGCGCAAAATAGCATACTAGAAGTTGGTGCAAAGCAATTCTACTCTTGTTCGGGCTAGAGACTAATCTTCAAGTAAATGTTCAACAACTGCATGCCTTGTTACAACGTGCGGCAAAAAGGGCTTGGCTTTGCCTGCATGAAGATGGGGTCGCCACGGAGGACGAGTTGTCTGACTTCTTCGATCTTACCCAAGAACTATTGCGAACTGAAGTTGAGTCAAAATCCTTAAGCTAAGAGTTCCGGAACATCAGATTACCTTCCTCAGTCTCCAGGTGCGCTGGTTACAGCGGCCCAAACGCCTGCAGCCGCAGACGGCCGGACACGAGTTGCAACTTAGCGTGCTATTGGACAGCCCCACATGCAAGCACAAACATTCTTTCTTGGCTATATGCAATAACAGTATAGACAACTGTTGAAGACGGTTGCATGGGTGTCGGTAGGCTGCTGCGTTCATGCGCCAGCGCCAGAGAGACGTGCCCGCATCGGCCACGCTATGAGCGACGAAGTCCTCCCTTTCGTCCACAAATCTCTTTCTGAGCTTAATTGATCATGGGGAGGTGCGCTACTTGGCAAAGAGGATGGGGAAAGATATAGCCAGGACTACACAAAGTTACTGTTTGCATTGCCTCGCAGTTGCAGGCTGCGCAATGACGGTCAGGCAGGTGTTTAACAATTGTCTAGAGTGTTACTGCAGGCTGAAAAGGGGGGATTGACTGTGACAGAACGGCTGGCTGCCCTGCACTACTACAGCAGGTGCACTGCAGCACATGCCACGTCGACTCCTGCCGCCCCAGTACCAGACCCCTTGCGCTGCTCTGTCCACGATGGCTGAGTACTGCAGGGGAGGTTTGGTGAGCTCTTGTTGTAAGTGTTTGACCCTGCAGCACCTCAACTCCGGCTTCTGGTACGACAAGCAACCCTAATCAGCAAATCTGTACCAGGGGTCCTGGTTGCTGTCCGAAATTTAGGTTGCAACAGGACCAAAGTAAAGATGAAAGGTCATTGAAGCCATCTGACCTCTCTCTTAGTCTCCACTTTGCCATAGGGCATCGGCCCAAGAACCTGGAGCTGCCGGAGAGGACGAGGGCTACTACAAGCTGCAACGCCCTTGGTTGCAGGCAAGGTTGGAGACTGCCCCGCACACAAATTTAAATGACATTTTTTGGCGAAATGTATGAAGACTATAGACAAATGTTGGGAGCTTTTGCTTGCGTGTCTTTTGTCCACTAGGGCCAGGTAAGGGTTCATGCGCCCACCTTAGACAGTCTTGCTAACGCCGGACAGACTCAGCTACACCACGCACAAAAACACCGCTAGGAGATTCACCCGCACACAGCAAGCACCATGGCTCGTTTACTTGCTGGCCAGTTTGTCACATCTGTTGGAAAATCGGTCCTCTTGAGCTTAACCTTCCTCTTCGCTTGTGTCTTTTGAAGCCCTGCAGCGCAACACTGTATGGACGTGGCATCAAACCGCGTGGGCGAACGATGGATCCAACGGTGCCATTGCTATGTTGAAGCATACTACAAATGGCAAAACTATAATAGTGGAACAGGAGCAGCTTGCTAAACGGGATGCCCGTGTAGTAGGACCTGGGCAGTGAGGCTGCGATCAAGCTGACGCTAGCTCGTGCGCTACAGGATGATGAGTGCTTGTTTACATTTTGGGCTTGAATACGAGTCTGAAAGTACCAAACGTTCGTTCTTTAGTTGAGCATTTGATGCCATCCTTAGGCCCTTTGATCCCCGAAAAGCCTGCGGCAACGCCAACGGGTCGGTTTCTCCACTGTGGACCGGGGCGGGGCAGGGGTTCAGTTAGTCTCCAGCCCCTTTCCCCGTCTATAGGCCTAGAGAAGCAAAGCATTTAGCGACTTCGTCGGACTTGTACAGTTTAGTAAGTAAGCAGGAGGTGTCTCGCCGACAGCTGTATTAATGAAGCATGTTTTCGCCGTCTGGCGGGTTGAACCGTCTTGGGCCCCACAGGCGTTAACTGTCCTCGAAATTGATTCCATAGTCTGTCGAAAAATATCAGGTTTGCAATTTTAATGCAGCAATTCTGACGTGAAATCGTCCAGAAATCGAACGACGAGAACAGACCCCCACAGGCATATGCACAAGCGGTTCACTTACCGCTTGCAACCCTGGAGAGAATTGCGCCCGGGTGCAGGCAGAAATGGCTCACCTCGCAGTTTGCACCCTTGCGTGGAGTCTATTTATCCATCTGGCAACGCAATCGCGTGCAGAGACAACCCCCATTAACCTATTTTCAGGTCACCCCTCTGAAGTGCCCAGCGGCGAAGGTCAGAGACACGGAGGCTTTAGACTTCCGGGTGCACAGGACTTAAGTGGTGCAGCAGAATCAGAACCAACCATAGCAAGAACAGAGGAACGAGCGGCAGCCACAAGCACGGCAGCTGCTGTACTCCCAGAACCAGCAGCAGGGTACCCTCGCCTGCGTCGTCGCGAGGGGGAAGATGTGGGCAATTTACCTGATGCGGACCCTCCTTCCCTTTGGCTGAATTCTCTGGATTCCCTCAGATGCGTCAAGGAGAGCACAGTTGCACCGGGTACAGGCGCATGTGATGGGCCCGAGGCCTGGGAAAGTGCTCATGACGGTTCACGGGGGGTTTACTTCGTGGCTGTCGGCGACACAGGAGAACTGTCTACTGCTTTGAATCGGGTCAGTTGGTGTGGGTGCAGAATGGGCTGTTGTCACCTCACATAGGTAGGATGAGGAGCATATTAGCATTGCGTTTTGTCCTGCAGACTGAGGAGGTGAGGATAGTGGATAAAGTGTGTTGTTACAAGTAGCTTTGGAACAGGGAGGCAGATTCCCTTGCTCTGACGCCTGCAGGCTTTTGAAACGTTTTATTTAGGGTGTATGGATACGTGCCGTTGTGCCTTTGCTTCTCAGGTGGTGGCGGCGATGGCAGAAGTTTGTTCGGTCGTTCCAGTTTCGTTTGTCTCACTGCTGGGAGACAACTTCTACCCCTGGGGAGTCAGCAGTACTGAAGACCCGAAGTTCACTTCTCATTTTGAGATTCCCTTTGGGCATCCTGCTTTGCAACGAGTGCGTTGAGCAGAGTTGATGCAGTCCGCTGCATCGTCAAACTGGCGATACTATAATCGTTTTTGGTGGGATTCCATCAAGGTGTTTTCAACCATTAGTTTCTTAGATGGGCTTCTGGTCATAGTGTTTACAGATGCTCAGGCGCACGTTGCTTCCTTTCGAGCGGTTTGGCTTCCTTTTATTCACTTTTCAATCTGTGCGTGCGCTTTGCTGCATCACTAGGTGGCTTTTTTTCCCGTATTTGGGAATCACGACTACAAGCTGTTCCCAGAGGCACAGATTCGACGGTACTTTTCGTCTTGTACTACGTGCAAGCAACCGCAAGACTGGAACTGTGAGACAAAGGAAGCATATTCCACCCTTGTGCGACAGCCGTAGTCCACGCTCGGTTATTTTCGTTTGCTGCATTTAACAGCATTAGCTCTCAATATGGTGTGTGCTGCAGCTGCACAAGTGCGCTGGCGGTTCCCCAATCCTTGGTACTTTTCGCGATTTGTTTACAAAAATGTGCATCCCGATCTTTCCGCATTCCCCCTTGTCTCGAACGTCAGGCAGCTACAGGAGGTGAGGCTCAGGTGCTGAGACAGTATCACCGGTACCATCCTGAAACACCCAAGAGCTGCGGACACTGCATCTTAGCAACTTAACAGTGAATTTTTTTGCGGCATTTTGCTGCAGGGCTGTCACATGCGACTGCCATATTGCGCCTAGCGGTGTTATGTAGTACATTGAGCGATCCTTCCTTTCCCAATGAAGTTTCATTGCTGAAATTTCGTCTTGCATTTCAGTGTGCTGCACTGGTGTTCTGTACATCGCAGATACAGCCGGTAGCCAGGGGATCTGGAGAGGGGGGTCGCGCTCGTGGCGACTCTGTGATCGTTGTGAATATCCATTTGGATTCGAACATTTTGTTGTCTTCGCATGATACCGCTCGCAAACAGCTGGTATTTCTAGAGGCTGTCCTCCAATCGGGTGCGGAAACTATTTCTGGGAGTCAAATACCACACAAATTATGACAGATAAAGGCATATTAGTGTAGCGTGGAAAACTGAGGAATATCCCCACGGTAATTGTCTGTTTGGATCCAAATGGAATCATGCGATTGCCTTCTCTTTTGGGGCTGGGTGCTTCATTTAGGAGGAGTTTGCGCTTCTCATCTTGTTGCAGGCGCTGCAGAAGCTGACTGGATATTTGTTCATCAACATCATCCACTGTTTACCGACGGTACTCTTTGTAGAAATATCAAGTCCTTCCAGGACTTGCTATTGCCGCTGTATCTGCGGTATGGCGTGGATGCGGTCTTCGCTGGACATGAACATTTGCTGTCGTATTTCGAGGTAAGTGGCTGTTGAATTGGTGTTGCACTCCTGCCGCAGAGTGAAGACAGCTGATGATCCTCTACGTGGATCGCGTGGAGCCCCCGTTCGATGTATTCGCCAAGAGTGCTAGCAGAAGCAGCATCCACTGTACCGGTATGCTTTTGCCTTTGCCTCTGGGATGCAGCTTGATGGGCCTGAAAGCGTAGGTGGACCTATCGCGCAGGTCATCAGCGGGTCCGGATCCAAGCTACACCGCGAGTTTCCCACTTGTTGCACACCAAGTTTGCTGCACAAGTGCAAAGAAGACGTGGAACTGTGCCGTAGCTCGAATTGTGCATTTCAGCGGACAACAAGTGGCTTTGCGCTCATTAATTTGACTGCAAAGGAGATGAGGTTATTGTACATTGATGCGAATACGGGAGAAGTAATACATCACTCAACCCGCCGCTCGAAGAAGGCCAGCCGAATGCAGCAGACAGCAAAACATGCTAGATTTGCAAGCGTACCGGGAGCCGCAGGACGACCACTAAAACCGAATGGTGGCGCTTTTGCATACCCTCCGATCGGCCGTGAACCGATTCCTCAGGAGCTGACGGGTTCAACATGGCCCACGGAGGACGTTCCGCTGTGGGGGCATGTGATGGTTGTTTTGTTCCTCATTTTGTTTATTGTTTTGGGATTCGTTTGCTGCGGGCGTTTCTTCTGCAACCTCAAGGCGTGGACAGTTCCTCAAGTACGTCGTTATTCCCTGCCCTTCTGGGCACTTCGGAGACACCGGGAAGTTCCTCTTGACCCCCATGAAGCGCCTTCCGTCGTTGGATCTGTGCGGTCTGTATCGGTGGGACGAGAGGTTGAACTGAGCACTAGAGAAACGGGGCTGTCTGTGGGGTCTTTGCCAGTGGTAGAGGCTGCTCGGCTCTGTGAACTACGTAGGCAAAAGGACCAAGAAGAGATGCCTCTTGTCTAGTGCGCACTCCTTTTATATACTTTCGTCGCCTTTCCAGTCCTAGAATGGGATGGATGACTTGAGGTGGACAGGATTGCTTCAAGGCGGCAGCAACGACACCCTGTGATGGCTCCACAGAGTGCTAAAGGTAGTGGTGGTGTCGGCAGCGCTTGCAGCGCAATGCTGCACTACGTGGGGAGATTTCTGCGGGAAGGTGCGCAACGTTCAGCATCCCAGGATAGCAAGAATGGGAAAGAGACGCCCATCTGTCTGCTCCTATCTAGTTCCAACGGTGACAAGTGCGGCAAGACCCAGCGTGGGACCCCTGCATGGAAACAGTAGGAGCATCCCGTTGTTTTTATTTGTTGTACACGCGCGCTTGATCTATTGGGTTTGAGAAGTGCTGCTTCTTCTGAGGGCATCAGCTAACTTCCTCAATCACGCAGGAAAGCAGGACAGGTGGCGCTGGCAGGTATAACTTTGTTGGCATCGGGAATGCGGCGTTGCTGCGTTGAAGCCGACGTAGTGTAGCTCCGCGGAAGGCTCTCAGACAGGGAACTGCAGGGAGACCTGGTTTTTTTGTGAAACATCCGAAGTCGTAGTTGCGTCTTCCCCGCCCTACAGGTGACGGCTGGAGGCAGACGAGTTCAACTTCCTTCAGCCTTCGGCTGACGGGATTGAAAAGCCTTTGTCAACGTGTTGTTGCTGGGCAGCCCCATTCCGCCTAGAAATAAAAGGATTCATTTGGAATTTGAAGTACTTGTCGATAAGTCCGGCACTAGGCACCTATAGTGCCTTTACCTCCGGGATAGCACAGGCGCGAAGCCTTGCAGAGTTAGCTGAAGAAACTCTCCAAACGTGAAGAGGCACATTAGTTGCTTTCAGGAAGCCGACCCCATATGTGGACCCAAGTGAATTTAATGTTTCCACCATATCTGCTCCACTAATATGTGTGTTGCTTTTATATATATAGGTATATAAGTTACAGACCGCGAATGAGCAGCATTTAGACTTTGGTGTGGATGTCGTGCTTAAGATCCGTTCCTTCCTTATTCACACCTAAAAGCCCAAGTATTTTAATGCATGGAGGGTAGGTCGTGCGGGTTGAACAACATGGTACATAATGGCAGGGCGGACGTCTCACGGCAGCTGTGTCAGCAAGTCCCTTGTGTGGAATGTGGCGATACGTATCCTGAAGCATTTCGTATTCCATTAACACTTTTCTTTCTCTAGGCTACGACGCAGCGGGGAGCGATGAGTGTATTGACTCATTGACATTTGCATTGACTCATCTGGGGTACACCTTTGCAGCATGCATGCAACATTAGCAAGCTGTGCCAGACCTCCGGGTAAATTGTATTATGCCGAGATGCAAAACAGTCAGAGGGTGGGAACGTCTTCGTCCGTCGTGCCCCATCAATAAAGGAAACTTGCTGCGTAGGCTGCACGTAGTCGAGATAACAAAACAATTACCAAAGGGGGAAAAGGCTACACTTGAATTGACAAAACATGGCGGAAAAGTTTTGTTATCTTCTGTTCAACTCGTAGATATTCTTCATCTTCTCATCGCCGGGGCCCTCATTTGCACGGGGCCGCCAAAACGGGACTGGCGGGACCAAACTCCTCAAGCATTCGGTAGGTAGGCAAGCGAAGAGCATAGAGCATTGAAAGTGTTCTTTAACTGATTTTTGCTGCTTTACAGCCTTCTTAACACTGTGTTTCCTGCTGTCACTGGATTTGGAGGCGAGTGCCCAGCTGATGTTTCTGTATCTGGTTTCCCTGCTATGCGGCGGTCTTTCCGTGTATTGTACAGATGGAATCCCCAAATCTACATAGCTTTTGGAGGTTTTGAGTGTTTTTAATATGGCCTGTCCTCCTTCTGCAGGCTTTTGAGACAAAATCCAGTTGGGAGTTGAGGGATACGTGCCACGGATCACGCGGAGTATTACTGCGTTGCACACTTCTGCATTCACGGTTAACTTGTTCTCAAAGGTAGTGAAATTAAAGGGTTACTATACAACAAGTAGTTTAGGGGTACAACAGGTGTCTCATCTTCTGGTGTATACACACCTAAGTTGTCGGGCTGGGCGGGGTTCCCCGTTGGCGGGGCGAAACTGTGTGCTGAAGGTGCCCAGTTGGTCTAGCTATATTTTATCATGGAGTCAGAAAGCGCATTACCTCCGTTTTTCCCATGGGGAGAGACAGGAGGAGGAGGGGAAACCCTGCGCAAACAGACGGCTGAGCTTGAACGGCTGGGCTGGTCGCAAGCGGATGGGGAGGAGTGGTTCGCCCACACGGCGAGTGGTTGGCTGTGCAATCCGAGTGAAAAGGTCTATTTCCACGCAGAAAGGAACATTTTGCTGCCCGTACAACAGCAGCAAACCGCTGCAGCTGAAATAACTGTGGCCGGCGAACCAGACCCGGCAGACCACGAAGACCAGACAGGAGGTGCCCCCCAAGACGATGGAATGTTTCAAGAGGACCAAATAGAGAAGTCAGAAGAAGAAGCTGAAGGTGATGTGGCTGACGATGAATCCGATTTTATGTTGGATCTGGAGGAGGACCTCGACGCGGCGACAGCGCAGAAGAAGGTGAACAACTCCTGTCATATTCAACATATACACATGTATACCAATTAGTGAAGCTGCCTGATTTCGCTGCTCTGTATTGTACATTACAAATGCCGCCTTTAGGGCTACACTTGTCCTCTGTCCTGTAGGGCTCGACAGAAGGCAAAGACACATGCGAAGACCGATACATCACACGGGCAGGCCTCCCTCTGGGCTTCTTCGCCGGAAGCGCTGAGGGCCTCTGTTATTTCTCGGCTATTTACGACGGACATGCTGGAACGGAGTGGGTTGGAATGGGAGAGGGCCTATCGCCACTGCGACTTCGCTCAAGCGTGCTTTGCAACTCCGGAGTATAGAGCATATGCATCCACTTGCATGTGCATCTGCTTGAGTACCTGCCCGTTCAACATCTGCATAAATTGTCGTGTATACGAGGGTGTGTACGCGGCAAAAGGTGCATGGGTGGTGTGTGTGCACATGCAGTTTACGAAAATATGTTGGTTGGCTTGTGCCTAACCTAGTGGTCTTTGTTGTTTGTAGTTGAGGAACGTTCGGGCAGCAAGGGTTTCTTTGCTTTCCCGTTCGCTGGCTGAAGATCAGGATGTGCTTTTGTGGTCCCAAATGTTCACAGCGGGGTCGAGGGGTACGTGCGGCTTGTATTGCCAGCTGTGCAGATTACGCTGCGGCTCATCTACACAAGAACCTCTTAAGTTCCTACCGCCAGGTCTACAGGACTGTGCAGGTTAGGACGGCTCCAGATATTTAGATAGTCCAGCTGTTTAACCAGCTTACCAGTTAGCTGCCAGGATTTATGTCCCATTATGCCGCTAGTTGGGCGTCGACCGTCTTAAGGCTTCCTGTGGTGTTTGGAGTTTCAGCGTAAGCGCGAGGAAGAAGCGACCGCTCGGCAGCAGTCGCACCAGCGGCGGCGGGACCAGCGGTCCAGCATGCAGTGGCTACAGCAGCTGAACCGAACTTCCGAACCACTGCGGCCGGAGGAGCAGCGGTTATCCGTAGAGCTGGAGGCCCTCGTGCGCAGCTGCTTCAGCGCCTTCTCCATCACCGACAAAAATTACCTAGGCCTCACCTCCAACGCCCTCACCCAAGACGGTGCGGCTTCACCTAAGAGCTACCCAGGCAGCTAGCTGCTAACACCTAGGAAGCTGCCTGGGCGGCGTTGCAGTTAGCCTCTTGCTCCACTGCCAACCGGGAAGTAGTTGTTAATGGTGCGAGTCGTTTGCTCCCTAGCCATCTGCGTCTTTTGCCTCTATGAATGCGGGATATAAATGTTTTCCCTTTTGCAGTTTTTCGTTTCGGTTTCCGTGTTTGCTGGTGTTTCCCGCTTGCCTGCAACTCTTTTCATGTATTGATTGCTGCTAGCCGACGGGATGGCGGCGGCTCCTTTGCGGAGCACATTTCACTTCATTTCACTTCATGGTGCTTTCTCTATGTGTCCCTCTGAAACAGCCGGGTCTACTGCATGCATAGCAATATTCTTCGGCCCAGATGAAGAAGGAGCGCTGAAACTGATTACAGCGCATGCAGGCGACTCGCGCGCTGTGCTCTGTCGGTGCGTCTGTACACCAAGTTGGTACGCTGGTGCTCAGTTCCTTGCTGTAGCGCTTTCCATAGGCACAGGCCGCTTACGGTGGAAGCCACCTTTTGACACAGTCATTGCGAAAACTGTGGCTAAACATGATGAGGGTTGCTCCGGACAGCGTTCATGTGTACAGACACCGCAGATGTGTGCCGAACATGTATCGGTACCATCGAGCTCAGGAACTTTGCTTTTCCTCCTTTTCCCTTGCTGTCAACAGAGATGGAGCCGCGGTCCGATTGACAGAAGATCATAAACCGAATACTCCATGCGAGAAAAAGCGCATCGAGGCCGCAGGGGGGCAGGTAAACACGCTCAACTTTCTAGGCTGAGCAGATGCGTGGGCTAAATGTGCATGCAGGTGCATGTGTTTTGGAAATGTTTTCCTTTTGGGCATCTTGCAGCCTTCTCCAGTATTCGATGGAAATATTTCTGCTTGTTTGGCAAGTACTTGTGCTACGAAAACACAAAAGTCTGGAAGGGCGGTCATAATTGCCGTATTTAGCGGTGTAGACTGCACTGCTTTTGCGTACTTCATTTTCTGCCTGTGGCACCCTCTCTTGCTCTGCTTCTTTCTATTACGTGGCTCTCTCTTTTGTAATGGACTTCCTCAGGTGGCGTCTATACAAGGCATTTGGAGGGTGCTTTCCTTGGATTCCCGCAAAAACCGGACTTTTGGGCTTTCTACAGCTCGGGCTTTAGGGGACATTGCACTTAAAAAGCCGAAACCCTTAGTCATTTCCAATCCCACTGTGCATGTATACACGCTTCACTTCGACAGAGACGCATTCCTCGTAAGGCGTTTAGCTCCTGCTGCGCCCGTTGCTGCAAACACTGCTGCTGCTTTTGCTCCTGTAGGGGCGATCTGCCCGCTGCGTTTTCCATTGGGTGTACACTCGCCAGGAAATACGCTCATATATATATATATATATTATATAT